CATATGAAGGTATGTCTAATTGTTTGTTGATCATAAAGGTGCTCTATGTAACTTTTCTGGTGGAGTGTCCGTCACCTGCTTGTTTCTATGGAGATGGTATTGCTTTGCTTGGAATGTCTCACAGTATGACATTAGATTGATCTATTTCTATGGGAAAGTGGTCGAAATCTTCCATCCCCCTTCACCCCGTGGCCTTTCACCAATGCTGGAATCCCAGGATGCTCTTTAAATGATTTTTGTTTAGAGTGTTCCCTTATGGTTTTGGTTTGTTAACTGGCTAAGTGACAATAAGTAGGGACCCCACTCACAGAAAGAAAGAATGTATGTGTTTCAAGGCATCTTGCTTAGCGATAAATACGCCTGCAATTGATTACATTCAAGATTGTTACACTTAATGCCACAGTGAGGAACATTCCAGTGTAAAACCAGTATTAGAAAGTTGCATAGTGCATTGTTAAATCTTGTAAGTCTGTACTATTTTGTTACTGTCTTTTTACAGCATGAAATTACTGTGAAAGTAAATAAAAGTGCAGAGATATTAGATTACACTGCACACTTGAGTTTTTTATTTGTCAGTTTTATTATTTCAAACATTTCAGTATTCTAATTTATTTTGAGAGTACATCACATGCATACATCTCAACTTTTTCTTCTCTTTTCACAGATGGACATCCAAACTCAACTAAAGGCCATTCTGAAAAACAAATATCAGAATTTGAATGACCTTACCCTTCCCATCAACTTGAACTATCAAAGCAGGAAAAAATTGTTTCACAATTTTGAGGCTCATTATAACCGGCATATTGATGACTCAAATCTTGATCCCATCGTAATATCGTCAAACAAAAAACATCCTTTTCCATTAGAGGATCTTCTTAAATGCCCTTGTGAACACAGCAAAAGTCAAAAAACCATCCTCACTTTTGGAGCGTGTGGCATTGGGAAAACCACGGCTGTGCAGAAGTGTGCTCTGGACTGGGCTGAAGACAGAGCACATACACACATAGATTTATTGTTTCCTATTCCATGCTGGGAATTGACTCTGCTGGAAATCGAAGAGCTTAGCCTGATTCAACTGCTTAACTTGATTTTCCCAGATTTGAAAGAACTTAGCGCTAAAAGTTTGTCTGGTCAGAGAGTATGGTTTGTGTTTGACGAATTGGAAGAGTATTGTTTTTTTGACTTCTCTTCTCCAAAAGTGCTGGATGTCAATCAAGTAACCTCACCGTATACTCTTATGCATAATCTAATAAAGGGTAACCTCCTTCCCAGTGCACACATTTGGGTAACTACCAGGTATGCTGCAATAGACCTGCCTGAACACCATGTTCTGAAGGAGACTGAAATGCTCGGATTCAACAATGAGCAAAAGGAACAGCACATCCTGAAGCTGGTTGGTGACGACGACCTCGCAAACAGAGTGATTGACCACATCAAAATATCAAGAAGTCTTCACTGTTTGTGCCGAATCCCATACATGTGCACTGTAATGGCCACTGTTCTCAAAAAGCATGTCAAAAAATATTATAAAATCCATCCAATGACTTTAACACAGATTTACAGCAGTCTGATTGACAAATCATTATCTGACTTTTTTGCAAAACTGCTCCCCTTGTTTGAAAAGCATTGCACTGGGCTTTACTGTTTCTGGATAAATGAAGAAAGATTACATGACAATAATGTTCAAGTCACTATTGCCCAATTGTCCACATTTGCCCAAGAGCACCCCCTACTGCTCAAAGAGGAGAAGAGCGTGCATGGAGTGTCCATGTTTTGCTTTGCGCATGTGAGTGTCTTAGAGTATCTCATTGCTTTGGCGAAACTGAATAAAGTAACCAGAAATAATCCCCCTTATAAGTATTCAACCTGCTTTCAGGAAATTGTTGAGTTTGAGGCACATGACTGTCATGGTGATTATGACATTTGTCTTCGCTTCTTGTTTGGACTCCTTAAAGAGCATGGTACACTCCAAATTTCAGATCCTTTCTTTGCACACATCAAGGAAGAGATGCAGCATAACTTTTGACTATACAAGTGTGCTCCTGATCCATTGTCTGAGGGAGTTCGACAGCCATTTTCTACTGAATGATGTGAAGATGTTTTATAAGACTGGTGTCCCTCCCCTCCAAGTCCCCACTTCGTTCTGGGTTGAAGTCATGGTGATGATTATGAACATAGAAGGAATGCAGGAAAAGTTTGAGATAAAACTGCCTGTGAGGTGTGACCAGAAGGTCCTCAGAAGTCTCCCTGAGATTTTGAAATCCAAAAAAGCCATGTAAGTAGTTTACCTTTTAATCCTAAATCATAGTAACTAACATAGTAACTAAAATAAGAATATATGGGATTTCAGTGCATAAGCAGATACAATATTTATTTTATTTAAACTTTATTGCAGTTGTCAAGGAGGAAGATTCATAAAGTAGTCATAATTAGGATGATATTTAGAAGCATTCTTAGTTAAATAAAAACTTTCTTACTTCCCTGTTGCTTTGTCTTTGTCATTTTAGGCTGCGATTCTCAAACCTGTCAGACACTTGTTGTCCTGCCCTGGCCTCTGTTCTTGGTGTCAGAGAGTCCCATTTGAGGGAGCTGGACCTGGGCTTCAACAGCATCACTGACAGGGGGGTGGAGAGCCTGGTCCAGGGCCTGAGTGACCAGGATTGCAGGCTAAAGTCCCTTCGTCTCCAGGGCTGTGAACTGACTTCCTCTGCCTGTGAACACCTGGCAACAGTCTTAAAACAGAGGCCAAACCTGAAGGAGCTGGATCTCAGCTGCAATAGTATAGGAGATGTGGGGCTGAAGCATCTTGCCAACGGTTTGGAGTCACCCATGTGTCAACTAGAAACACTTAGGTATGTGTAGTCTCAAATTTTGCTCATCTAAAGTGAAGATTTTAGCTGTGTCAGCCAAATCATTTACTGGACTGTTGGTAAATAGCTGGTGTTTTTGTTTTTAGAATTTCTCAGTGCAACATTAAAAGGGAGGGTGGCTTCCATCTGGCCTCAGCACTGGAGAAAAACCCTAGTTACCTAAAGTGGCTGGACCTGAGCATCAACAGGATAGGAAACAAGGCTGCGAATGAACTTTTTACCAAGTTTGACATATCAAGACTGAGAAAACTGGAGTAAGCATGCATGCAAAAAAATATATCTCTAGATTGTTGATAATGATTGATGTTAATGATTTTTTTTTTTTTTTTTTTTTTTGACAGAATGTGCTTTTGTGGCCTCACAGAACGGTGCTGTGCCACGATTTCGGATGCACTGAAACTTGAGAAGAGCTGTCTGGTAGAATTGAACTTAAGCAGCAACAACTTGAAGGATGCAGGAGCTCATTTGATCAGTGCAGGCCTGTTTGCCTGGTCTAGACTGGAAAAACTCAAGTAAGGGATTCATTTTTAAAATGTATTTATTTTTTGTCTTTTATTGTGAATCTTTTACAATTCAGAAATTACAGAACATCTGCGCCTTATTCTCTATTCATAGGATTTGTTCTTCCAAAAGAAGAGAGGGCTTTAGGCATTGGTTTTATAATATAATATTATAAGACTTAGGAATAAATAATGACCAATAAGTATTCATTATCCTTTTTGTTCTTTCTCTTGATAATAGTATTTCAAGATGTGGAATCTCCAAGCTTGGCTGTTTTTACCTCTCCAAAGTGCTGTCCTGCATCTCAGCGTTGTACAGTGAAAATATGCACATGGAAATCGGCTGGCAGGCGACAGAGCTGAGGGAGATGGACCTGAGCAGGAACAAACTCACAGATGAAGGGGCTGTATACATTTCCACTGGACTGTGTAATCCTTACAGCCACCTCCGAAGGCTCAAGTAAGTCCATTTCAGTGGGTATTTTACTAAACCAGCGATTGCCCTTATAATTGTTAGAAAATTATTTTGGAAATTACTTAGGAAATGTCATCTTCAAAGCAGAAAATTATGTTTGATCAGTCTTAAAGCAAATACCGTATTTTCCGCACTATAGGGCGCTTTGGATTATAATTATATAGTCACTGAATAGTCTATTTTCGAACTTTTTTCACATACAAACCGCACCGGACTATAAGGCGCATTAAACAAAACACAACAGTTCGATAAGTCAGTTAAACTTTATTTAACACGTTCACAAATTGTAACATGTAAAAAAAAAATAAAATACTGTCTGAGACCACTAAATTGTTAGCGTATTCACAATAACTCATAATTGTTCAAACAGCTGGGCGATTACAGCATCCAGCATGCCCGCATCCCTCTCGTCATTATCCAAGTCAGTGTCGTTACTGTTACCCGGCAGTTCAGTGAAAGCTCGGACCACAGTTGATGCTGATCCTTAGCCCAGGCGTCCACGATCCATTGGCAGACCGTGGCGTAAGTCGCTCGGCGCTGTCTCCTTGTCTTGGTGAGTGTGTGTTCGCCTTCTATAATCCACTGCTCCCACGCAGCTCTCAGTTTAACTTTATAATAGCCTTGAGTTTAATGTCGACGTTGTATGCGTGTCTCTTGACAGGTGCGTTTTGATTTTTTTTTTTTTTTGTAGTTTACTAAAGTCGTACTAAAACACCCGAATAAATTCATATATAAGGTGCTCTGGATTATAAGGCGTTTTTTCATGAAATTTTAAGCTTTTAAAGGTTGTATGGAGGATTTTTTTTGTTTCAAATTGTCAATGATAGCATTATAGAGATGCAGTAGCCTTGTAATTATGATGACCAAAAAAAAGAGAATAAAAATTCATCAACTCTGGACGTGGTGGGGCCAGCTAAACATTTGCCAATAGATAACGACACTGCCTCGTTATCTGTTAGCTGACAGGCTGTCTATCAAACTCCCTACGTTTCTAGCGTAACTGACTTGCCTGCGCGCCGCCGGTACGTGGTTTACGTACGCCTGTCACGCAGTCCACAGACGCAAGACGCACAGACACTGTTTACTCCACCAACGCAACAGTTTTTAGCGGCTTTTTTTGACCTATATCTTCCTTGCAGTTAGCACAAAGTTTGTTGCAATGGCAGACAAGAATCCAGGAGCAGTTAGCCGCAAAAGAAAGTCCGTTTTTGAGGTCGCTGAAAGAAGAAGACAAGGGGAAAAGCAGCGAAGCCAAACTAAGGTGATTCTTGTAGATTCATTCCAGCGATGGCGCAACTGAAGCAGACGCAGGGTCTAAAGACTGACGCATTGGTCGCCAAATTACTCCTGGTAACTTCTGCTTATTATGAAAACGTACTTTATTTCCAAGAGCTAGACAAACGTTTTTCAGGACACGAAAGCGATATCCTATGTCTGAAAACGTAATTTTCAAGGCAAAGAAAGAGTCCGCTTGCTGATGCGTGTTGTAGCTAGTTCATTCGCACTGAATCTCCGCGCAACCTTCTCTGCACCCCTTTACTGCTCCTGTCCCCGCTGCCCGTTCCGCTCTTCCCCCTGCTCCTCACTTCTCCGGGCACGGAATCTCCGCGCACCGCTCCCCTCTCCTCTCTCCTCTCCCTGCTCCAGGCTCCCCGCTCCGCTCTTTCCCTGCTCCTCACTTCTCGTCCGCGCACGAAATATCCGCACACCCCCTCCCCCGCTCCTCACTTCTCCGCCTTGCCTAACCAACACTGTAGTTAGTTGTTTACAAGTCATGTGCAGCGCACCGGCTGTAAACAAACCTGTTTCTGGCGTAAGGAGGAGGCGGGAGGAGGTGTTTTTACGTAGGGAGCTTTAGGGGAGGGGGGGTGGTTTCACGCATGCACAACATTTGAAAAAGGACAAACAGTCGCTGGATTTCTCGTTCCTTGGAAAATCCTCTATACAACCTTTAAGTGCGCCCTGTAGTACGGAAAATATGGTAAGCTGGTTGGCAATCAGACACCTCATGCATAGATCAGATCTCAGCAGAAACTGGAGAGGCTGGTTTATAGTGAGCTTAGCGATAGATTTGCTGCAGTTAGACTACCAGCCTGGCTTCAGAGTAGAAGATGGTTGCCTGCTGCATCCTGGACTGCTTCAGAAACAGGGGGTAACAGGACTTGCCATGTGGGGGCTTCCCTTCATCTTCTACACTGTAGAGTTCAGACATGGACAGTTGTGTCCTGCAGTTGTCTCAGCCTCATTACAGACATTGATGATTAAGGATGAGTGTGCCTCTCTACTGACTCCTAACTGGTGAACGATCAGGAAAGGATATTGAGGATTTGTTCAAGTATCTGAGTGTTTATTTGTGTGTAACTGAACAAGAAACTAGACAACATTGCACACTTGTGGTGCATGGAATTATCACATTGTAACAAAGCTTTATGTTCTGTGTGTTCAGCCTGATTGAATGCAGTCTCACTAGTGACTGCTGCGCTGACCTGGCGTCTCATCTGTCTTCCTCTAAATGCACTGTGGCTGAGTTGGACCTCTCCAGTAACAGCATACAGGACAGGGGGGTCAAGAAGCTCTGTGTGGCCCTCAAAAGCCCTGAATGTGCTCTCCAAATGTTATTGTAAGTCATGCATTTGTAGGAGAAAATGCGATTTAACGTGTTGTAAGATGTGTGTGTTTGAGCATGTGGTTTAGCTTTTGACGAATTATTGAAATTATACATTTGCGGGGCACCAGATTCTGACTGAATCAAACTTAACCATATGCGACAACAACAACTTATCAATTTAATCAATCTGAAGGGAACGTACCCGAAAAAGTGACCTGATGATAACTTTAAGAAAAATCACTGAAACCAGCAAATTCCTTTGTGTGGTTTATTAACAAACAATAACTAGACACCAGCTTCCAAGTTCTGGTTGCGTAACATTAAAGCACCGATTTTAACAACCTGAGGTAGTTATAAAAACGGGGTTCAGTTTAGCTCAGTTATGGCGTTTCGCTAAGTCGCTACTGCCCTTGCCTTAGGAATAATTGGACGCAATCGTAAGAGGGATGCCAACCCTTATTCATTCACTGTTCAGAACCAGCCTTACTTGGCGATGTTGTTCTCGGTCCGTGTGGAATGCGGCGATGGCGGGGTTCGGCGGTGGTCGCACGCACGGGCAGGCAGCGGCGTGATGATGGTACTCGGGTAGGGCGGTCCACGCCTCCTTCACCGGCTCTGGTCCTCAGCTCTCGGCAGGTGCGACTCCAGGTCTGTTACAGCTCCCCCTGGGTCTCTCCGACCGGCCGTCTTCCCTGGTCCTCTTCGGCGGGTCCTCGCAGCGGCGAGGCAAGGCGAAGAGCGAAGAAAGGCGAAGCGAAAGCGCGAGGCGAAGCGAAAGCGCGAAGCGAAGCGAAAGCGCGAAGCGAAGCGAAAGCCAAGTTTTTCGCGCGTGAGGCTTCGTTTTGGTCAGTGCGCTTGGTGGGCGTTGTTATATGCAAATTTAAGGCACGCCCGCGTCTGAGCTGAACTGGTCCCCGTACAAATATCATTTGCAAATATTAAATTGATAACTTCCCACATTCAGGTACTAACTGTTTACGACAACATTAGCCGACGATTCATACAATGAAATCAAAGGTATATCTGTCGAAAACACGCCGTGTACCGTAAATACTTCCGAAAACACGCCGTGAAGTTACCATAAATACTTCCGCGGGAACATGACATGAAATACACACAAGAGACTATGAACACATGAATTAAGCAATGTGGCATACTTGTCTTGTATCAACATGAGCCTTATATAGAACACAGTTAAAACATTTTTAACTAGTTATCGAGATGCGTTTAATCCAGTCCTTCTCTAGTGTCCAAAAGTGGCAACCACAGTCCATCGCGGTTTTAACCGGTCCAAGCATTGGCGCCTGATGGTCTGGTATGTAGATGATGTGGGTCTGTTTCTTCAAAGCAAAATGAGGAATGCCATTATTTAACAGTCCTTATCACTTTAGCAGAGCCATGTCAATTTCCCATTCTGATTCATGTCCCACTTGGCGTGGGGGAAGAGAGGTGTGAAAGCACCGAAGATCGGTTCTCTTGGGGTTGTAAATACCAAGAGGCAGTCAGGCAGAACCGACTTCTCTAGGTTCCTGGTTTGTGGATTCTGTCAGAATGGGGGGAGCAGGCCCTGAACAAGCATTTTTCCCTACACATTTGTCAACCTGAATCTGAAGGCCAGGTGAGGGGGAGGGGAGGACAGGTCTCACTTCTGCCTTCTACTGGTGAAAAAAATCTAACAAATTTGCCCATGAAAGCTTTAAAAGCAGGCTGTGTAACATTTTTGTTGGAGGGTTTTACAGTATGACATTAATAAACTCAGCTATCTTCCATTTTTCAAGTTTGATGTTTGATAGTCTTGGGGCAAGTGGCCTCATTTTACCACAGATCTGCTTCTCTCCATGGACGTAAAATTTACACTCCAGACAAAGCAGTCTTTTCCATGAAGACAAATGGGATGGATCCTCTACCAAAAAGGTTAAACAGAGCACTTTTAACTTTCAACTTTACAGCTATATTTTGTCTGTGTTTTTGTTTCTAGTCTCAGAAACTGTGGCCTCACCTCTAAGTGTGTTCCCTTCTTCAACATGGCCCTTAAGACCAACCTTCACCTGACCGAGCTGTTTTTAATGGGCAATCAGCTCGATGACGTTGCCAAAAAAGTGTTATTGGGAATGATCAGGAATAATGCATACAAGTTACAAACTGTTGAGTAAGTAGTTAACTTTAATATGTTGTTCATTCTGTGTTTAATGAAAATTATGGCATATATAGTGCTAACTTTTACATGTTCTATCTTCTAGTCTCCCCATTGAATGATCAAGATATGAAAATTAATACGCTTTTTTTTTTTTTCTTACTACAAATGCATTCACTATTATATTTCAGTCACTGTGTTATATATATCATCTAAATATGTTTTAGATTCTCATTAAGCTTTAACCTTTTCATTGGCATAAAGAAGCACATGTAAACGGAAAACAATAAATTACACAATTTTTTATTTTTAAAAACAAGTTCCCAGTTTTTTGTAAACCAAATTAAATTTGGATAGACCCATAGGGTGGACACGCCTATGTCACCTCTATATGCCTCGGGCTCAAGGCATTGTTACTCAAAAGTGCCTTCCTGCCACTAGTAACAAAGTCATAATTCCTATCTCTAAGTGTCAGGGAAGAAGTGAAGATGAATTCTCCTGTTTTTTACCACAATTGCTTGGACTATACTTGATTTAAAACTGTTCTGTGAAAGAGTGTCACAAAATACTTATTTTCTACTGTTTATTGTTTTATTCAAATTATAAATGTTTGTATTAATTTTTTTATGATTATTTTTCTATTTTATTAAATTTTATAGTATGGTAGAGGTTCTGGTGGTGGTTCAGGTTTCTGGTGGAGGGCTTCACCTTCCATTTGTATCCATGGAAATGTTACTGCATTGCTTGGAATCTTTCACAGTATTGCATTTAACATATCTCTCTACATGGAGACAAGGTTGTGATGGAAACGTATATTGTGAAAAGATTTCTCTCAATTTGTCTTTGTGTAAATGAATCTTAGACCAGACCAGTCATTAAGGTGTGTAAAGGCTCAGCAGACACAACTGTCTCCACCCTTTTGTTGTCTTAGCTGTCATCATATGTATGTAAAGTTGATTGGCACAAGTCTGTGAAAGTCACTCTGCTTTGATATGTATGTAACTTGTATTTCTGTATAAATAGTCAGAGCTCAGATGCTATGGGGGCAGAGATTCAGAGGGGATGCTCTGCAGGGAAATTGAGAGAAGGGGTCCTCAAAAGCGGCTGTTGGTCTTTGGCCAGGGCAGACCTAGGTCCTGTCCATATCTGTTGTAACAAGAATAAATATTTGTCTGTATTCCAAAAACTCATCTGACTTTGCAAATGGATCAATTATTTATCATCAAAGGTATATATAATTTTTCCACAACAGGGTCATGACAGCATAGGACCAAATTACAGATCAGGTCAAAGAGGTGACACCACTGACGGTGAAGATTTTAATTTTTTTGCAAGGTATTTCTAGAGTTTAATGCATCTGCAACTGAACGAATGCAATAAGCAGTAATGCAATAAGATGTTTAATACCTGACTCAAGAACATTCCAGGAAAGCAGTAACATTTCCAAGTTGCAGGCACCACAAGGAGAGTTATACATTTAATGTTTTAAGTTTTTTTTTTTTTTTTTTATCAAATGGTTACAGAATTTATGTATTAAATAGAAATTAAATAATAAATAGATTTGTAAATTCCATTTTCATTTAGAGATATATTTTGGCATTAAAAATCAATGATGACTTACTATTTAAATATCCCAAACACTTATATTGTTATTGTTACAGGAATCCCCCATTCCTGTAACAATTGGTATTTTTATTTTTTTTATCACAAAAACGTATTTGGCAAAAAAAATAAATATATAAAAAATCATTAGTATTATATTAGTATTATTACATTTATTCAACTGCCTTATAAATGTCGCCTAATACAGTGTTGGTCTATTCCAGAAATACATTACTTATGGTTATAAATGAATATTAATCAATCGAAGAAATCCTTAAAATTACACAGATATTAAGATCAGAGCTTAAAATGCCTAAAAAGTGTGAGGGTGGCTTCACGGTCATGAGTCAATGTTGATATTTGCAACAATAAATGATGATGTAGCACGCCCTCTAGTGGATCATATCCGTAAGTTGACGCCTTTTACGTGGGGCTGCTGGTGCTTTGCTGCGGTCCGTCAGTGCCTGATATCATCACCGTATCTGAAGCTGAGACTCACATTCGGAGCAGACGGTAGGACATAAATGCATATTTAATGTTAATTCCAAACCGTGCATTTGTATCGTAATAATTTTCATTCATTTTGTAAACATGCATCGTCACCCCTGCGTCTGGTCTGCGCTTCATGTTATGTAATTGCATGAGCTGTCACCGGGGATAGCCTGATACAGCAGCTCAGTCATGCAGGTTCATATGTGTGTAATTTCATAAAGAAGGTTGGTTCCAGCCAGGGACTTAGAATTGGGTGTGGGTGTCAGTGCGCATTTTTTGGGTAGGCCCGTATGGCGCAGTTTAAAGGACCCATACGTTTTGTGCCATTTGTGCCTGCGTTTTTGTGCCTGCCTGCCCTGATGTCGCAGTATGTTAGAATTAAGAGGGATAAAGTTAGGGACCGTGGTTAGTGGACGAATACCCTTTTGCTTAGGATACTGCAGTGTAGGCTACACTGATTACATTCATATTGCACCATCTTTGTCCTTTGCAGCTTCTCTTTCGTCTATCCTGACCATTACTAAGCATATTACAGCATCTTCTAACCGCATTTACTGCAAATTCAGCCACTTCCAAAGTATTGATTTCTGATTAAGCAAGGACTAGAATCAAATTCAAAGTGCAGGCTCCTCTTGCAGATATAAAAGTTAAAAATGACGCAATGACAAAAGGTAGTATATGAAATTTAAGAGATTTAAGTGTGATTGTAATTTCTTTCTTAAATAGACCCATAGCTCACCTTGACAAAATCATAGAATTGATTTCATTATCTTAAATATATTTTACAGAATAAGACATATTTTACAGAAATATTTTCGATTTGTTCACTGCACCAAATGGGTCCCTCCTGGTTGTTTTGTATATTCCTCTCAGTATACTAAGCCCTCCACTTACATGGTTTAATGGCTCAAGTTCTATATACCAGAATACAAGAGTCATGATTGTGTAGTTGCAGGAGTAATATTTGTAGTAGTTGTAGTAGTTCCAGTAGTTGTAGTAGTTGTTGTAGACTAGTTGTAGTAGTGGAGAACTGCATATCAAAGTTGTTTTCATTTTCAGAATACAGAAAATTGTCAGGTGCTAGAAAACATGCTACTGAATCTCTGTGCTCTCTGTGTTCTGCAAACCTAAATGTAGAAGTATGGCAGCAGTAGTAGGAGTAGCAGTAAATTAATAACTAGTACTTTTGTTTCCTCAAATAGCACTGAGTGAAGATGGGGAAGGAGAAGCTTCACATAAACATAGTGGTGATTGGACATGTGGACTCAGGTAAGTCCACCACCACAGGTCACCTCATCTACAAGTGCGGAGGCATCGATAAAAGGACCATCGAGAAGTTTGAGAAAGAAGCTGCAGAGGTATGACTCATTTATCTCCCCTGTCAGAATAAGATGTGGGAGAAATACTTAATAGCTGTGAATTGCTGAGTTCCAGATGTTACTTTCTATAGGCCTGTGGTGTTCAACTGTGATGGGGGAAGGCATCATTACAGTTGTTAATATGCTAACATTTTGGATGAACTGATGGTATAGAAGTTATTGTTAATACTTATATAAAAAGAATAGGTTTGTGAGATGATGTCACTGTTAGATCAGCATAAGCAACCAGTGAACAATATCCAAAAGAATCAAAAAATGTGAGAAAAAGCGTACATAAACATCATTGTAAAAAGTAAATAAAAATGCATATTAAAGATGCACTATGTAACATGGTGGAGGGTGTGCCATATGGAGATGTTATTGCTTTACCTGGAATATTTCAAAGTACTAGTACAGCATTAAACTTAACCATCTCTATGGATATAAGAAGGTGGCGCCAACTGTTACAGGATCTGAGAGGCAACTGTGCTCAGATTAAGACTTAAGGTATTTTTGAGCCATAAAAACACCTGTAAGAGTTCAATGCGAAACATTTAACACAAGCAATAACAAAGGCAAAGCTTTAATGTCTCCATGGAGGCAAGCAGGTGCCAGATTGCCCACCAGAAAAAAATGTACATAGAGTTTAGATGCTTTTAGCTAATTCTGGACAAAACATAAGGACAAAAACATAAATAATACATCAGATAGATTATATATGAACACTACAACCTAAAGACACCTGCTTATTGTTGGTTTGAAATTGTGAAGTGATCTGAAATGTAGATAGTTAGTAGTTTTGAGACATCTTCTGTTTCTCTTCTATAGATGGGGAAAGGTTCCTTTAAATATGCTTGGGTTTTGGATAAGCTGAAAGCAGAGCGGGAGCGTGGTATCACCATAGACATTTCCTTGTGGAAGTTTGAGACCAGCAAATACTATGTGACCATCATCGACGCTCCAGGACACAGAGACTTCATCAAGAACATGATCACTGGCACCTCACAGGTAAGGCCAACACAGTCACATTTTATACATTACTAAGAGCACTGTAATAGTGGGAAATGTGTTTAGAGCCAGTGGCCTGTTGTTGCAAATGTAACTTTAATTGTCAACATTTCATACATTTCATATCTAGCCTGTAGCAAAGGGCTGAGAATGGAATTTAGATTTGATTGCAATCCTGCATTTTCATAAGTATAGGCTTAATGTGCACCATGCCTTACAATTGATGCAATACAGGTGCATTTATAATATATATTAAAAGTCAAATAATCTATGTCCAGTTGGTATAATCTGATCTTTTTTATGTAGTGTCTATTGATTCATCCAGATTATGTAGAGGTTTATCTTTATCCAATCAGAAAGCAGAATTAATTTGTGTAATCTGAAATCAGTTTCATTTTGATGACTCTACTCACCTCTGACTACATGTATTATCTTTAAATAGTGTATATAATGTGATGCAGTGACAGTCCCTCTCCTCTGGCTCAGGCCGACTGTGCCGTGCTCATAGTGGCTGCAGGCGTGGGAGAGTTTGAAGCTGGAATCTCCAAAAACGGACAGACACGTGAGCATGCCCTCTTGGCCTACACTTTGGGTGTGAAGCAACTCATTGTGGGAATCAACAAAATGGACTCCACCGAACCCAACTACAGCCAGAAACGTTATGAGGAGATAGTGAAAGAAGTCAGTACTTATATTAAGAAGATTGGCTACAACCCCGACACAGTGGCCTTTGTGCCAATCTCTGGTTGGAACGGGGACAACATGCTGGAGCCAAGCCCAAATGTGAGTAATACAAAGTGACAACAATGATCTATTTTGAGGTTTGCCAATTCTTGCTAATTGCTAAATTTTGCCATTTAACAATTGGTGTTCTGGCCATGGGGGAATTATTTCAGTTTGTGTCTAGGTAAACACTAGATTAGATTGTACAGCAGTTACTTTAAATTAGGGGTTTGGGAGGAACAGTTTATGTTAATTGGAAAAGTCTTTCTTCAGTTGTGATTTATTAATAGCTGTACTGGGAAACATACTATTACTTTTACTACTATTACTATTTTATTTTTACATAATTTTAACGTAAATGTCAATTCAGAGTACACAAATATTTTACTGTAATTCACAATAGTTATCCTTAAGAAGTACAGTTATTCTTTGATTTTTAGTGCAGACAAATACAGTAACATACAATTACAAAGAAGAAATATAATAGATTTGTCAGGCATGTTGGCAATGTAGGAAAAGTATTTAGCAAAATGGTTGTCAGAATTTAAATAACATTTCTTTTGTAATAGCAATCATTTTTGCAGAAACTGTTTATCAGACTTTAAGCATGATATATTGTGAAGAAGGTTACACCCTACACCCTGTTGTCAAAATTATAATTTTCATTTGTTGCATTTAACTAAAGTGCTACTGCATTGTAACATATAAACTCCAAATAATAATGAACCCACTGTTTATGTAAATCACTTTTAAGATCAAAACATTAATACTTTAAATTAGGAACTTTGACTTAATAATATAAGTATTAATATTGATTAGGCAGGTTTATTAACAGTGGAAATGGATTCACTAGTTTTTCATTTCAGTCACAAAATTGCTATGCTTCCTCTGAAAACAACCGTAACTGTAAAACTTGACAATGTGACCCCTTATTGTGAAAGTGCAAGTGTTGTTAGCCATGTAGCTAAAGTTGCTGCTGTCACCTGCAGATGACCTGGTTCAAAGGCTGGAAGATTAACCGCAAAGATGGAAACGCGTCAGGCACCACCCTGCTGGAGGCTCTAGACGCCATCCAGCCCCCCACACGCCCCACAGACAAGCCCCTGCGCCTGCCACTACAGGATGTGTACAAGATCGGAGGTCAGGATACTACACCACAAAACTTACATATGTTTTTTTTAAAAATCTTTTTATTTTATTTTTTTGTATCCATTTAATGTTACGCAAACCAGATTAAGAAAATAGACTCCCTGTTATATAATAATAAAAAAGCTAAGGATAAAAGAGGTGTATTTTGGACCACAACCGAGTTACAGTTAAATCCTGAATTATTTATACTTAAGACAAGTGTGTCCAAAGTGTTTTAAGTATTTAGAGCAGATGTTCTCTGTGGGCTCCTTATGGTCACACACACAGATTCCTCATTCTTTTGTGTACAGGGTTCTACAGTATGGCATTAAACTTATTTACTTCCATGAAGACAGTCATGTGTGTAGCACCAAAAAAGCAAGATACACAGGTTAGGTTCGTGGTTAGGAAATGCTTCAGGATATTTATAAGCAATGAAAACACCCAGAATAAAACAAAGATAGACACAAGTATTCCAATATTGTTTGCCTGACCAGCCAGTCCCTTCCATATTCTGTTCGAATCCAGGAGGGACTGGGACTGGACCACAGAGCGCGAAAACTTCCAGGCAAATTTTAAATGAAGCAACCACAGCTGCTAATTTGTAGCACGTGTCCCTCAAATGTGGAAGACATCGCTATAAATTTCTCGTAACATTCAAAACAAAATATGTAACTTCTTATATATTTTTTCTCCTTTTTAATGTGTAAGCAGCTCTGTTTGCTTTGACGTGAAGGGAACATGCGTCTCTCTGATTGATTAATCCACCTGTCAATCACACCCCCTGAAATCAGGGAGACAGGATACAGCTCCATATCAGTGTGGTTCTGGCTGGCCACGTAACCCATATTTTAGGATATTCCAGGCAAAGCAAATGACACCAAACCTGCTGTTTCTTTCAGGTATTGGGACAGTGCCAGTAGGTCGTGTGGAGACGGGGATCCTGAAGCCAGGCATGGTGGTGACTTTTGCCCCTGTGAACGTGACCACGGAGGTGAAGTCTGTGGAGATGCACCACGAGGCTCTGACCGAGGCGCTGCCCGGAGACAACGTGGGCTTCAATGTTAAGAATGTGTCCGTCAAAGATATTCGCCGTGGCAACGTGGCCGGAGACAGCAGAAATGACCCACCACAAGAGGCTGCTAGCTTCACCTCTCAGGTCAGTATGTGAGTGTACTGTTTTAGCTTTAGTGTATGCAGACAAGAAACAGTTTGGGTCCCTATACCTTCATTAAGGCACCTCCATCATTTCATGTCTTGGTTACTGATTGAAGTTTTTACATTTAAGTTTCTACAAATCAAATTAACAATTCAATGTGTAAATATAAAAAATACCACTTGGAGATGATCAGACTGTGTAGCATAATATTTCCTTATTGTTCTGCACTGAAGTAATGTCCAAAAATGTTTCTTTTGAGTTTCCAAGACTACATATTAAGTAGTTTTGTCCAACTCTCACAAAGACAATTTTACAGAATAATGTATAGACCATTGATATTCTAGAGAACATTGCTGTTGTCAAAACTAGTGCGCCCACCATAAAGACAAAGTTGTAACAATCCATGTCTCCTATAATATAAATGCAAACATTTAAAAATCCTCTCATATATTCTGTTGTTGACTAGGTGATCATCCTGAACCACCCGGGTCAGATCAGTGCAGGTTACGCCCCTGTGTTGGACTGCCACACCGCTCACATCGCCTGTAAGTTTGCTGAGCTCAAAGAGAAGATTGACCGTCGCTCGGGCAAGAAGCTGGAAGACAATCCCAAGTCCCTGAAGTCTGGAGATGCTGCCATTGTGGACATGATCCCTGGAAAGCCCATGTGTGTGGAGAGCTTCTCTGAGTACCCTCCACTAGGTAAGTCTCTACAGTGAGCATTTATCATCTTGCAGAATACTGACCAAAATCCTGTGATACTGTGCTTTCCACAAATGTAGGCAAAGATTACCTGTACATTATTTTAATAGTTTGATTTGCACCTCTGCTTAGACCAGGGCTGTTAAAACTAGTGGGAGAAAGGACACATGTACTCAATTAGGATTATACATGAAAAATACTACTGAAAGGACTAGTTACTTTTTTTTAACACAGTTTTATTGGCATTTTAGATCATGCTTTTATATAAAACTTGATCAATCACATTGTAAAACAGAATTGTGTCATTAAACTGAATATAGAATTAATAAACCACAGGCTGCATACACTGGCCAGTTAGAGTCTTGTTATGTGTGCTTGGTATATAAACAATTGAGACATTGGGGCATTTGGTCAAGTGAGACTTGTAACAGTACTCACCTACTTCTATGAATAATTCAAGTAGCCTGAGAGTTGTAAAGAGAGGAAGGAGACTTTGGATGTCTAATACTGGAGTATTTAACATAGAACATGCATAAAGACATGAACACACATGCAAGTCTGCCCATGTCTCAATTGTATTATACTTCTGATGACTTAGGTTAGATAACAAGGACTGAGCTGGAGGTGTCCTTGGTACAGTAGAGCAATTTCCCTATCACTTGATACTTTAGTGTTCAATGGCAGTGTACCTTACCCTTATATATTACAACTACTACTACTTCTACTTATTATTTTATTTATTTATTTATCTATTCTTGTGCAAAAATTGTGTTTTGTACTTTTGTCTTGACTTTATTTTCCCTCAACCTGCCCCTTGACTGATATAAAACTATGATAAATATTTGCCACAGGTACTATCTCACCAAACCAATTCATAATCATCACATATGCTTGATCTGTAACCTGACTTAACTTCTCTTTGCGCAGGTCGTTTTGCCGTGCGAGACATGCGTCAGACCGTGGCTGTGGGCGTCATTAAAGGAGTGGAGAAGAAAGCTCCCACCAGCGGAAAGGTTACCAAGTCTGCTCAGAAGGCTCAGAAGACCAAATGAATGTTGTGCTGGGCTGTTGCCCCTGACAACCGCGACCAACGGCACTCTAGCTATCTGCCCCTGTTAGCGTCCATCATCAGTGTCTGGTCTATTATCACAATGCATCGCAAAAGCCGCAGAAGGAAAAACATTCATACCTCCACTATAGTGACTAACACAGTGTCCAGTGTATGTTTTGTTGTCACTCTGGCAATGCTATCTAGCTTCCATGCTGTATTCTGTATTTTAAGTGAGGACTACAATATTAAATAAGTTTAGATTGCTTGAATTAAGAAAGTTTATTTTGATTTCAGTAGAATAGAAATATGCAAAAGATGCATTTTCACATGGGATCAATAAAGTAAAAAACATATACCTTAAATTATACATAAATTAAAAATATCTTGTAATTTTTGTTATTTTTTACTTTAAAACATATTGCTCATGAATTTAAAAAAATAGTTCTATAGAAATTCAAGATTCTTAATTCAAGCAATTTATATGAGGTCCTTGTTTTGAGGTAATTGTAGTGATATACTGCTCATAGACTTAGCTTGTACAATTGTAGCTGTTGCTCAAGTTATGATGCTGGGATGTTTATGTTTGTTGAAGTAATGCTCCGTGTTGTAGCTTTAATAGATAATTGTGGACTATAGGCACTGGTGAACTGGCTGCTTGCATGTTCCCTTAGCACTTTAGAAGCTTCAGAGTAGTGAGGATCTGAAGTCTTCATGCATAGAGCACTTTGCTTGGTCTGAGCTCCCTGCAGTAGCAATGTTCAGTGTTAGATACTGTTCCGTTCATGCACCTTAATCATTGTTATTGTGGTAACATGTTGAAAGTAAAGATGTTAAAACACTATGTCTCTCGTTCTGGTGTTTTTACTGAATTAAAATTTAAATTGGAAGGCTAGTTACCCAAATCTGTTTTTCCAAGGTTTAGCACTTCCTACTTAACTATTCACAAATTACATTTTTAATTCAACTTTTGCTAATGTATATACATTTTTAATGTTAATAAAATACTCATAATAAAATACTAATATCTCAAAAAGTAAAACAGGGAGAACCTTCAGATTTATTTGTCATTTTAGTTATTTGAACTATTGAACATATCTGTAATAAATAGAAGTGCAAGAGTTTTATAAATGTCTAAAATAACATAATGTAAGACACTTTTTTTTTTTTGGTCAGTTTGATCTTAAAATATAGGCTTTCATGTGGAAACAGCAGAGCCAATTCAGCACAGAAAGATGTTTTAATATTTAATTTAATCAACTTACCTCCAGAGAGTTACATGGGACATTATAATTTCAATAGCCATTTTGTCAAAATGCATTTTCCTCCCACAAGGACATAAGGATCACCATAAGGATCAAACTGTCCCAATTTTGTACTTAACAATTTAACAGAAGGATTTAATTATATGTCTTTTTCAGTCTGATTTATTAAAGTCTTCACTAAAGAATTAGGTAAAAATTTAAATTTGTAGGCAAATTTTCAGTCAGATGTACTTTACTACTTTTTGTATGTAATATGTCCACAAAAAGAAGCTGGTTCTTTTCATGTTTCAGTTTTGAATGTCCCAAGAATGCAAAATTTAGAGTTTTTACACATAAAATGTTTTATTTTTATATGAAAACATTACATGATGAAAATCTTGTAATTATTTTTTCTTGCATTTATGTGGGTAAACTACAGGAGTTTTTGAAAAGATCTTTAAATATGAGGTCATCACCTGCAGTGTGTCGTCTTAATAGTTACATGGCATGACTTGTTCTACGGAGTGTCACAAAGGGTTCATTATTTTCACATAAATTGTAGACTCACTTATTCCATACTAATACAAAGGAAGATAAGACGAGATGCTCTGATCAAAGACATATGAATCGATGACATGATGACATATGAATTTGTCCCAGAAATGTCTTTATTCGAAGAGGAATTTCACTTGCATTTTTCATTACATAACAGGTTTCTTAAATCTGAATGACATTATTGTGTAAATATGTGCACTTAATTTAAATAAATTAATAGAAATGAAACAGATTGGTACAAATGCCAAGGCCCCTAATGCCCAGTTGAAAAATCATCACTGAATAACACGTGTAAAATGACTTCCAGGTTTAAAAATAAAATTAAACCAAGCCAGTGCAACTATTTCTGTAGCCTAGAAAATGAATGCACTTATCAAGATGCTTCATAAAGGCACCAGAATATAAGTATTGTGTGTTTTGTAAACTGAGGATGGGGTCTTCCATGCAAAACTAAAATACAAGATGATTGTAATGGTACCGATTTGTCAATTCCCATACACCATATCAAGCAAAAAAACAAGGCAATGTCATGAGGAGTAGCAATATTTTATCATATATTATAATGATGTTTTATGCTGCAAAATGTCTAAGAATTGTAATGGAAAAATGCCTAAAGTTTGGAACATCTTAAAACTCCATCTCTGCTGAGTGTTCCTGATTAGAGGTTTTATTAAAAAAGAAAGGGAAAACTGGCCCGATGTCTGAATTGAACTGAATGTATGTATATACATTTGTCAAAATAAAACTAAACATTACCTTTAACAAATGTTTTGCGTCACATTTCCCATTTAAACAATTCATGTTAATTGAATACATTTTAACATTGACTTAATAAATAGAAAACATGTATTTGCTTTGTTAGTTTTGGTTTAGACTTTACAAGTCATCACTTTGTTTTGCACGTGTCTGTATATCCCTTAAATTTTGTAGAGATGGGCTGGCCATAATGTTGTTCCTGACTGCTTGGTGCATTTTGATATGTACTTTAAACCAACAAAACTGACTTGTCTTGTCCACATAAGCATGAAAGCTGCACTATATAACTTTTCTAAAGGAGGGTCAGGTGCATGTTTGTCTCCATGGAGATTATTGCATTGCCTAGAATGTGCCACAGTATGACATGTCTCTACCTACATTTGTGAGGAATAAAAACACCTGTAATTTAATAAATTAGTGACAACATTACAGACGACATAATAACATCAAATGGAGACAAGAATATGGCAGACCTTCCTCCAGAAAAGTTATACACAGCACCTTTCAGGGCATGACTTTGTGCTGCATCAATTGCTTCTCAGTCAAATTTTGTACCATGCAAAATGTGAGTGGTAATTCCTTCATGTCACTGACCAGCAGTTTAAGTCATAGTGATCGTGCCTGTGTGTATAAATATAAGCAATACATTCTGCAAAGTCTACTTAAAGGAAATAAAAAGAGCCTACATTACCCTGTATGAAAACACCACTAATATATATATATATATAGTTGTAGGTTTTGGCAGTTTAATCTAATAGCTGAGAATTTGTTTTAGTTGTTAAGATAATCTTTGTTTCAAAATTTGACCATACTGCATGTTTTATTCAAGATTTATCACCTCTTCTTTCTATCATGATTAGATGTTTTACAAAATCCTGTCACATAGTATACGCAAAAGCTTATCATTATAATACTTGAAACTTGACAATGAATGTATTTGGGGGAAAATCACAAATACTAAAAAGAAGAGACAGAAAAGTTATACATTCTTGTGGCAGCAGGTGGCAGCACGTGCTCCCACATGTGATTTGACTCAGATAATGTGTACACCTGCACAGTTTAGTAATGAGGCCCTTTTTAGTAAAAATGGCTCTTGGAGTTTTGGCATTCAAGCATTTCTTCATCACTTGTGAACTGCCAGTGTCTTCTGTCTTGTTCCTTTAATTCAAACATGCAAGGCTCATGCTGCATCTCAGGTCTCAGGTCTCTGTGCATCAGAGCAAACATTAACCGTAAGTTCTGTGTCAAATCAACCACAGATCCTTCATTTACTCTATTAGACATAATCTATTCAAAAATAAAGAACAACTCGTGCAATGATATATCCTAAGTGATCAGCCTGTATGAAAATACTGTGATTCTTGTCAAAGAAGATTAAACAAAAATAGTCCCCTTATTATATCCTATTTCATTCAAAAGCACAGAGCGTCTGTGAGTGGAGGTCTACTTTAGCCGCACATGGGGCATGTTGAGTAATTCGGTGCTGCCGGTGGAGGGGGAGGAGGTGTGCCCACTGGTCAGGCTTTGAGTGGAGCCCATGGTCCTGGCTCCAGTCCTGAGCAGCTCCGAGGTGAACTTGGCTTCAGTGGAGCCCTGTGAGGAGAGAAAGTCAAAGCCTGGCCCTTCTGTGTCCCTGTCGCTGATGAAGAGGTCCTCCTCCCCCCACCCCCCACTGCTCCGGGGACCGCCCCCCCCTCCGCCTGAGTCCTGGCTGCAGTGGAAGCCGATGGGGGAGTCGCTGCTGGTGCTGGGGGTGGGCGAAGACAGGCAGAAGTCCTGACTGTTCTGGCGTCTCTGGATCAGGTCCTGCACAGACATGGATTTCCCCAGGCCCCTGTCCACCGGGATGGTCCCAGAACAGCAGCTGTGCACAGGGGCCACTAGAGGCTCCAGCTCCAAGCTCATGTGCCTCCTCCAGGAGCCCTCCTCCTTGGCGTTCAGCTTGGTGTTGTTCGTACCTCCCTGCAGCTGAAGGCCCAGGCGGTTCAATCCCAGACCCACACCCACATGCTCCCTTGGGCCAGGGTCCTCCACGTCTCCCTGGGTCCCCATACCACCAACTAAGTCATTAACTTCGGGTGGAACTTCTATAGAGGTAGCCCGCACCAGCTTGTTTGTTCCTCCATTGCTGGGAGGGGGTGGAGGAGGGAGCCTGGCCAGGAGAGGGAATCCCCCATCCCCCAGGCCCCCACTGGAGACACTGTTGGGAGTGAGGAGGGGAGGAGAGTTGCCCACCACCTCATCTGTGCTCTCGGGTGTGGGGGGCTGGCGGTGGCGACGATTGGGGTAGTGGTGATGGTGGCTGTGATGGGGAAGAGGTGAGGGGCTGAAGGTGGAGGGAGGGGTGGAAGAGGAGGCGTTCATATTCAGATTGAGCTCATTGGGCGGGGCCAGGACCAGGTGCAGTCCTCCCTGGGACAGATGAGAGCTGGTGGAGGAGCGTGTGACACAGCCTGCAGATGGTGCTGTGCCACTGCTAACCTGAGTGGAGCAGGACACATCTTTACTGAAGACAGGGGAGTGGTAGTCTGACGTCTGCTCCAGCTCAAACAGAGGCAGAGAGGACAGAGTGAGAGCGGAGGAGGATCCTTTCCTCAAAACCTGCCGATAGATGTCGAGGAGAGAGTCCAACTTTGACTCAATGGACTGGACCTGTGGCACAAGAGCCAGAGGACAAAGAGCTTTCAAACTAATGTAATACTGTAGTAATTATTAAACCCCAGACACAAGTGTTTGTAGCTAACTGAACCAGGGTGGTATTATTTCATACATGGATAAAATTCTTCTGTTCTTTACAATCATAGTCAGTAGTCTGGAAGCTTTCTTGACTGCACTTAACATTCAACTATTCAGGTTAAGCCTTTTAATTTAATTTTATTTTTTCAAATGGAATTTGTATTGATTCTATTGATTGAGTAAGCCTGTTTTGTCCTGCATTTGAGGCTTGAGTGCTCTGTGCTCAGTGATCTGTGCCCACTACTCTGTAATTGGGATTATTAAAAATACATACATACAATACATGTAAAGTTACAAAAGTATCATTTATCTATCCAACACATAAATGAAAATCTATTGTAAATAATCAAAATCATTCTATGTTTTCTTTAACCATAGTCTGCAGTCACAGACCTGTCTCTCCACTTTGCACACACGGCCCAGCATGCTCATGTCCTCTAGGAGGTCTCCTTCTGAAAGCAGCTTCTCTCGGATCTTCTTGTCCAGAGGAATCTGACCTTTGCCCAGGATCTGATCCACTCTGAGCACAGCACACACACTGTTAGATGTAGGCCAAATAACATTGTTTATATAGAACAAGGCAAAGGGGAAGTCCACGAGGCAGCCCACAGAGATCAAAATAGTTTAGAAGCAACAAAAGAATTATTATTTACAAAAACAGATCATTACAATAAATAAAGTCCTCACTGGGTTTTCTTTCATACCATATATGTTGTGTTCTAGCTTAAAAGTGGTGCACCCAATTTGCCTTGGCCCAGTACAGATATATTGTATAAGCAGCTCTTGAGGTCAAATTAAGTCATCTGTGTGGAAAGCATTTTATTGTGTGATAAGGAGGCAGTAAGAGTTACCATGCTAGTTATTGTTAGCCTTATTGTGACGGGAAAACTCTGCACTGGTCTTCAAAAGTTGTGACAAGCACTTGGATGCTGCTTTGGAAAGCATTTGTCAAATATTAGTTTTAAAATCTGTCACATTTGTTTTTACAATCCAGGGAGGTCTTTATGATTATTTGGCAATCAACAAGGTTACAGAATTTCCCATGCAATGTCATGCAGTTGACATTTATAAGCAACATCATTAGGAATGTATGATTGTTGTTGTTGCTGTGCATGTTGAAAAATAATTAGTTATAGTAATGGACAGTGGTATAGTTGTAAAAGTATAGACATTCGTTTTCTCAATTCAATACAAAAGCAGAAATCAACAAATGTATCAATATTAGCCACATAACAGACAAACTGTATTGATTAGGGAGTAGTTACACATTCACATTTAATTGTAAGGATAAGTGATACCTTAGTTCAATTAATTCACTAGTGTTATCAAGTTCAAATTATAGCAGACAAAAATTGTACTAAAAACGATTAAATACTTCCCCCCTTCTTTTCGTACTGTTTTACAGATTGTCATTGTCATTGTAACGTTGTACTGCACCAAATTTCAAGAGGTTCATGTGGTCACCATATATGTACAAATGAACAGTGAATTGATTGAAGTAGGTGTACTGTGCAGTGACCCCCATGGAGGTGTGGGGGTGTGGGTGCTGACCCCTGGGTGGAGTTCTTTCGGCCCTGGCTGTAATACACAGGCAGGGAGGGGGAGGAAAAGATCCGTGCTCGGCTGCTCAGAGACTGGGGGCCTACTATCGTGTCCAACCTGTAAAGGAGACACACACACATGCTCTCACACATAGTGCAATACAGCTCTGCATGAAAACAAGAGACCACTGCAGAAGGATTCTTAGGTTTGATACCAAACTACTGTAGTTACTTTTGTATGCACAACTGCCCTAGGCTGCCAATGTGTGCCACCGGTCCTTCCATCACCAACATTTACGTACACACCACATTCATGCAAGGCAGTCTGAGTGAAGTGTCTTGCCTAAGCACTCAATGACAGATGCAAGAGACACTGCTGCCTGCCCCACTAGGGCAACAGGTATTTCCAGCAGTCTTCAATCCAAATACTAACCAGGCTCAACCATGCTAAAGTAGGTAAGGCCACAAACAATGATTTATATTATGGAATACTGACCAAATATCCCACCAAATCTCATATTCAAATGAGTCTATAGTTCTTTAGCATGTTATTTATGTGAGGATGGAAATGACTGTACATTCACTCACTTCTATACCAATCAACCTCTTCACTAATACTTCACTGGTTATAATAGGAGTGCTCACACTATTAGAACTATACATTTCTTGCCTTCTAAGTCACTACTTAGAACTGTGCTTTGTTCCTCTAGTACTCACACAGTTTTTTATAGTTACATCACAGTGTGCATCACAGGGTTACTTGGAGTGGCTTGTTGTGAATTAAATGCTGATCTAGTGGTATAGTGCAGTTGTCTGTCTTTTGCAGAGCTGTTGGATGCATTGGACAAACACATTCCATCAGTCAATGTGTTGTTAAAAATGGCATGCACACACACATATATGATACTGCATATTAATGCATTCCTCAGTGGGAATATTGGTACCGGGTCTGGAGGCTCTTGATGCGGCAAAGCATGTCCAAGTGTCCAGCTGAATACTGCTCGATCACGTCCTTCACATCATATGGACGCAGCGTCTCCTTGAACTTCTTCTTAGCCACGTGAAACTTCATGATCCTGGGAACATCACAGCAGTTCATAAACAACCCACGTGGAGGAGCTGTGGTGCAACCTAAGCACCTGTTGTCTACACTACTACTAAGACCTTTTGTACAGTACATTTTCAGCTCAACTTGTATGATATACACAGAAAGCACATCTTTCTATCATCAGTGAGAAAAAAAATTATAGAATGTCAACCTTAAAAGAAGATTTTAAATGTTTTATCTCTGAAGCATGAACCCTTAACTCAGGAAGGAGCTGTATGAACAAGAACACTGCTGCACTATGTAACTTTGCCTTGACTAATGCACAGTCATACTGTTTTTTCAAAACCAGATCTTGTCAGAGACTAAGCAAAGCCAGGCCTGGTTAGTACTTGGAAGGGAGACCGCAGGGAATATTAGGTGCCACAGTGGGAAGCCACTGTACTTATGCATGACACTTCACCCACATAGCCTAATATGAAAGTGATGTGGATGTGAATGCGTGAGTGCGTGAGCAGCCTCGCTTCTGTCAGTCTGCCCCAGGGCAGCTGTGGCTACAGTAGTAGCTTACCACCTCTGAGTGTGGAATGAATGAATATTGCCCTGTAAGGTGTCTTTGAGTCAGTAGTATTTTTGGGCATAAATCAACAAATTCCAGATAGACTGACTATGGGACAGTCCATGCCTGGTTTAGTCTTGGTTTAGTCTCAGTTTAATGTTGTGTGATGTTCTTACACTCTACTACCTGAACAGCACAAAATACACCAATTTAAAGAGATACATGGATTACAAATATATTACTTTGTGTGTACTTTGAAACATATTTTGACAAAAAAGTAGCACGCTCTATCACACACACAGTAAGACTTCATTAGGAGCATTTAAACCCCGCTGAATCTGTATTATACCATTCCCCCGGTTGGTCTTACCTGACAGCTCTAATGACTGTCTTGACTGAGGGCAGCAGGTCTTCCACCGAGATCTCGCAATGGCAGCCCTTGTCATCAAAGGCATCCTCGGCGGCCATGTTGGAGTCTGCTGCTCCGAAAATCACACACAGGAGGAGAGAGGATTAGCTCTGTTTTCTTCTATAAAACACTTCACAGCAACAGTTTAAAAACAGATTATTGAAAAGTATTCCTCAAAAGGTTGGGGCTTTGTTTGCGTCCCACACAGCCAATGACTTCACTGAACCAAGAGCATTCTTGATTTCATTTAACAACATCTTTGTTGTTTATGCGTCAAAACCATACCCAACTGTGTGTTGTTTCATTCATTTTAAAGTCATTGTGAATGATTAGGCTGTCTCTCTCTTCAGTGCTGAAAACATTCAGTTGGCAGTGTACGTCACTGGTGGCTGGTGCGTATATCTTTGTCAACCTTATTCTGGACATTTTATGCACAAACTGTCTTCACTAAAAAATAATCTCATCTGAGAAGATTGCTGCTATTTTTCAATATAATTTTCACAGCACCAGCTCGGGTGGAGGGGCCACCAATATCTTATTTCTACAGATATGTTATTGCTTTCCAGGGATGTCCCACAATATGACATAATACGGATATATCTCCAGAGACATGGCCAAGTTATGGATCTGTGGAGAGGCAACCCCTCTCATAGTATGGATGTGTGTCTTTAAATTAGTAAATGCAAGAGATATGTTTAATGCCACACTGTGGAACATTCCAGGTAAAGCAGGACTGAGAGGAGACATGGTAAAAAATCTTAATTCACTCCCCACCAGAAAAGTTATGGTCTCTTTAAGGATTGCAATTTTTCTGACAAGCATTGTAACTGCGAATAGATTTATGTATTAGATTTTATTTTAATTATAGGATTCTGTTAAAAGTTCATATTTTAAATGTGTCCAGAAGAATTCACAAAAACACAAAAATAAATATTAACAGACAAAACCATGTAACACATTTCAGATTAATGCAGATTAAGATTTTGTTGTTATGGAGGAACCTGTTGAAATAGAGGTACTTCCAAAATGGAAACCATTGCAATTTGCGAATTGTATCCATTCAATTTGTGATTTTGATTCTATTGCGAGTCCTAATTTCTATGCTAATTATTTAAATACTTTCTTTCATAACTGGACGAAACATCACAGATATCTAGTTACTGATGAGAACCTATTACTGATTTGCTCACATATGTGTATTCCCTATAAATGTTACTTTTATTCCATGAAACCCTGTGACCTTCTCTTTTCTCTGATTAATCACTGCTGATTTGGCCATAATGGATACGCCAGCTTGTCTGACGATGAGACAGTGAGCGGCTAACCAGGATCTGACCAGGTTGGTTTTGGCTTGCACATGTATTGATTTTCCTGATCCAGCTGGAGCCTCAACAGCCCATATGGCCCACTCCCACCTTCCATCAATCCATCAGCCCACCCACCCACACCCCCGGGCAGCTGCCCAACTAGGTCTGTCACGCTGCCAATGCTGGTCCAGGGCATTCTATTAGCATTCCTCCATTGACTATCATAAATATGTGTAATTTGGGGAAGGTTGGACAGTCATTCAGAAATACAGATTACAAGATGGTAGGATTATATTTTCTTTCTCATGTAATGAGGTCAATCTTTTTTTTTCTTTTTTTTTTTTCTTTTGTAGCCAAGGCATTTTTCTTTTTAATGCAAGAGTCATGTTGTCCTTAAATATTTTTACTCAATGAAAACCACTGGCCATAAGAGAACAGTTAATATTAATTAGTAATTAATAATAACAATTCCTGTAGCCTCCTAGGACCTGGCATCCACATATGTGGGCATATATGTCCAACACACTTTGGGTTGTTCAGGCACAGTTTTCGCAAATCATTATTCAACTGTGACTTTACTGTGTTCCATCAAAATGATTAAAACATAAAATTAATATTTTAGATGTCATATGTGGACAGGTAAATATAAAAATATTTGTTATTGCACTCATCAGGTCCCAATCAGCCCAAATAACAAAGAGAATCAATAATGCATGCCATGCAAGAGTTCGGGTCCTAGGAGGTTAAAATGAACGGTTCCTTTAAAATAAACAATTGTGAATGTAGTGGTTATTTATTGAACAGCTGCCTATCTCCTGAATCTTCAATACACAACTTTTGCTCTATATTTTCCTCACTTATACCAATCACACCACCACACAGACCAAAGTGTCAAACCTAATGACACAGCAACTGTATTCATGACAATGGGAGAAACCAGCAACTATAGTAAATAGGCAAACTGAGCTTCTGCAGTACTGGCTACTAGATACTGGCTACTTTTGTGACAAACTAGGGCTGGGTGATATACCAAGAAAAAAATATGATTTACTCATGTAGATAAAGATAATGCTAAATCTTAGTTTCCTCAACAAATAGATGCATTTTAATCCATTAAAGTTTCACACAGACATTTAATTCCACACCAAAGCATGTGCTGCCACAACTGTAGATACAGCATTTAAAAAGTTTAAATTCAGTCATTATTACATTGAAATTATTGTCACAGCCCTATGAGCAACATTTTGACTACTTGAAAATGCAGAGTAAATAATGAATTTATTTACCATCTGTAGTGGAGCGTGATTGACTCTTGAGGCGCAGTGAGGGTCTGAAGCGGGTACGGTCATTGAAGCTCCAGCTCTTCTGGACCTTGGCTGGACTTGTTCCCTCAGTACCAGTGTCTGCCACTGGGGAGCGCCGATCGTTTACTGAAGAGGTCTGCCGATTCTTGATGCTCTGACCACGGGGGCTGGCCATCCGCACACGCTCTTTGAAACTCAACTTTTGGCTAAACATAAAAGTAACAAAGAAGAAGAAGAGACAAACAGAGGAAACAAATTAATACTGTATGACTGACTTGCATATATATTAGCTGTTATATTTGGTCATTTGTGTCTGCGTTCATGGACATTGTGGGTTTAATGATTGTGTTAAGATTCACAAAGCAACATGCAGTGCGCCAGAACCTTAAACATGAACCAAAAACAGTATGTTAGGTGTGATGCTGCAATTACACTGGAAAAAATAACATGAATAAAAATGATTTAAAGGTCCTATTACACAAAATTGATTGGTGAGGGCTTTGAGCCATATTATAATGTTGCTCCTTCATCAGAAACATACCCAGAGTTGTGTTTTATTTCATTTAAACATGTTTGAGTAACCGTCTGTCTACATCTCCAAAACTCAGAATGCCCTGTTCTACCTTGTGATGTCGTATAGTGGTAGTTTTCAAATTAAGAGCTGCCTTTTACTTTAAGTTCAGTAGAGATTGGCAATTCCAGGGCTGAAATTATCCAAATAATTCTTGTATGGTGTTTAAAAACACTGTGGAGCACTTCCTGTATTACCACATGACATCACAAGGTGGAGCAGAGTGTTTTGTGTTTGGACACAGCCTAAAGCTACATCCACATGACAACGTTCCTGGATTAATTAATTAATTTATTTTTTGTGGGTTGAAAAAGATTTGTGTCCATGTTGGATCATTAAATATTCACGTCCACACGACAACAGAGCACTGAGTGAAAATTATGTAATACATATGCCACGCCTGTATGTAGTGCTGTAAACAAGATACAGCCAGAGCCATTGGACACACAAAACTGCAAAGAGTATTCGCATAAAGTCCTTATTGTGTGGGGTTCTCTTCTGGTCACCTGGCAATGATGGGGTTGCAACGTCATCGTTTTCCAAAAGTTGCGGTTTGCTTGTCCACACGATAACGCAACGTCGGCATCCTCAGATTTCTCCACTCTGGAACCCGTTTTCAAAAAACATTTTTCACCCACCCAAAATGCCAGCTCCGTGTGGACGAAAGACCAAAAAAAAATAAAAACTTCACCAAAACTAATAAAAACTTCACAGTTTTAACCAAAAATCTGTGTTGTGTAGACACCACCTAAATATGCAGAGTTTGTGCGTTAAACATGTATGAATGAAATAAAACAATTCCAGGTATATGTGTGATGAGGAAACAACATTAGAACATAGAACAGAAAATAGTGTAATATTATTCTGTACGATAATCCTAATTTGAAGATCAATTGGCCTAAATTAGACTTTTTTACTTATATGGACTAGAATACTTAACTTTAATGCAGATTCATTAATAAGATGTCCTAAATTAAAGTCAATTAAACTAATTTAGATTTTGCAATGCATATATTTATAGATGCACTATGTAACTTTTTCAGTGACTCCATCAAATACTATAACACAAATGCTATGGTTCTGCCTAGAATGTTCCACAGTATGGCATTCGTAGAAATTAAATAAATGCATTAACCTTCCAGGTAAAACATTGCCATGGAGTGTCCAATCCAAGTTGTCCAATCCTCCGCCAGAAAAATTACACAGTTTTATAAAAGTAGCTCACCTGAGAAAAAGGTTGAAGACCCCTGATCTATGTTGTTTCCTTATCAAATACAGGAAAGGCTCCATAGTGTTTTTAAACACCATGCACCTTCACTAGAATCATTTGGATGAATTTCCAGTTTCTACTAGCAGTTAACTTGAAAACAACCACAACATGACATCACAAGGTGGAACAGAGCATTTTGAGCTTTGGAAATGTAGACATACTAACAATAAAGGGTTACCCAAACATGTGTGAATGAAACAAAACACAATGTAACATGGCTCTAACATACCTTAAAGCTCCCAAGAGTCAGTTTTGTGTAATTCAGGACCTTTAAGTGATATTTTTAAACCCTCTATGCCAGTTCTGTTGGAATGTGGTCATTGATCTCTTTCTGATCAGCAGCATGTTTCTATATGTATATGATCATGAGGGTTAGATGGACCGACGGACTGATGCTATAGAATGGTATATTTCTTTTTGAGTGAACAGTGGTAGTATTATTGCTTAATACAACATGCAGAGAAAATGTTATTGGTTTATTGATGAAGCTGTGTAGCTGCCATATTTCATGCAAAGGAACAATACAATGCTAAAACAGCCATGGTATCCTTGCAAGCGATCAATAAAATTATAGTTGAAATAAAGCAGGTTTTGCGCAACAGGTAACTGTTGTAACCTTCACTGTTTTGGTATTACAATCATCTTTTCATCTGACCTTGATCATAAATTAAATTAAACTAAATCTAGTGCTTTATATTGCCTTTAAGAAGTAATAAAACTGATTCTTCTGAGAGCTCAGACTTCATGGTGTTTGGTTTAAACTACCTGTCACTCAGTCAGAATGTGACTGTGATTGACCAATAGAAGTGGGAGGGCAGAAAGGTAGACTACATGTGTATATAAGTAAGTATAAAGCTTAAACACAAAAAGTTGTGAATAGCCATTTAACAGTAACAATTTGATCACAGTTCTGTTATAGTATTAATATTTGCATGACCTTGCTAACCCTACATAATATAATGCCATTTTGAGAAATATAACCGAGAAATAAAGCTTGGATAAATTCCGATGATCATGGAATAAAGTTAATACCAAAATTACTATGCAAATCATGGCACTCTAGGGGAGCGGATAATTTTCTAAAGGTAACAAAAACTGAATGTGATTAGGCTTCTTTGTGAAAGTCATTCCCCAAATAACTAATAGTAGCTGAAAAGCCAGAGAAACACAATATGACCAGCATGCTACTTTAAATGGCTGTGGTTACAAAGGCAGGCACATTAGAATGGTGGCTAAGCTAACAATAAGGACAACAGTCAAAATTGATCTACTACGTGTGAATCAGCATGTGGGATGGATAGCATGTAACAAAAGACAGATAAACCCAATGTCTTCTCTCACTGCAGGCTTAAAGGTGCACTGTGTAACTTTTCAGATGGAGTCCATCACCTCTTTGTCTCCATGAACATTGTTGCTTTGTCTATAGTGTTTCACAGCATAAACTATCTATCTCCATGGAGAAGACATGGAGATTAGCAGGTGATGGACCCTTCACCAGAAAAGTTACATACTGCACCTTTAAAACAAATATTTCACACCTTTATCTTTGTTAAATCAGCCCTACAGAGTTTCAAAGAAAATTTCATCAGGCAAAAGTAGCGCATGGCTCAAGCATTAGAGTAGATTACATTGAGGTCTGTTGTATTAAACTTCACATTACTGGACTACAGCCTCCTAAGAGTCCCATGCACGCAGAATTAGTCAGCATTCCCAAAGAAAACATCACGTAAGGCAGGGCTGGGTACCTATGTTTCCGAGTGGTACACCTCCTCAGTAGCTTCTGTTTATTATTATGAATGAGACTAAAAATCAAGGGGAGATAGACATGTGGGATTACATATTGAAAACAGGAAGGTTTAAGCATCTAACCTTGTTAACGACATATTTATGCTCCAAAGATGCTGCTATACGTCAACAGACTAGAATAAAGTTTGTTACCACATATATATGTATATATCAATGTTATCATATATGCATTGCAAATTATAATGATAATTTGAATACATTTTGGCAACATTCAGTTGGAGTCTTGCTAGCTCCATTAATTAACACTGAAATGTATGGCTACATATTTCCTAAGCGCAGCAGTGCAAACCTTGCACAGCAACACAGATTCTCACGATATTTGTGAGTTCACAAACTCCCGCTGTAAGGTTAAGCAGGCAGATGGTCTGTGCTTTTCTCTCAACTGGATTTCAGCAAAGTTATGTTTTTCAGCTCGTTCTGCTATTATGACACTTCACGGAATCAGATTTAAATAATCTGCGTCTAGTTCTGCATTTTCCAATCACTTTATGCACAGCCATCATAATAATACTATACAGCGCAAAGAGCGTCCCCAGACCTTTCAGCTCGGGAAAGACAGGAAAAGGGCACATCGTGTCAAATTAAACTTCTGATGCCCTTTCAAAATAAGTTCTCTAAAACACTATATTTGCACAAGCAATGAGGCTAGCGTTGCAAGAGCAGCTGTGTTGCCTCTCATGTAAACTCATGCTTTTAAATGTACATATGTTTGCAGCCTTGCCTAAGGTGAGCCACTTCTGACTCTCTCCTCGTCTATGTAGTTAATGTATTTACTCTATGTGTTGTTTATGTTGCTGGAAGACACATACGATTTTCACTACAAACTGTACTGCGTACATGTTTATATGTGCATGTGATAAATAAACTAAACAAAACTTTTAATCTTATATTTCAATTTTTAAACTGCCATAAAATTGCCAAACATGAAAATTTTTTTAACGATCTTTTAATACATTTTTTTTTTTCCTATTCAAAATGAAAGTTTTTTAAATTTCTTGTCACCATGGCCTGAAACCTTAATTTTTTCAGGGAATTTCCAAAGTTGTCATTTTTTCTCATCTTTTTCACAAAGCATGTTTCCTTCCCTCTATTACTCTATATCAGACTATGCAAATCATCATAATGTAGGTTAAAACATAAAATATGAAGCCTTAGCTTTAAAATGAATGCTTATCTTCATGATTTTGGGGAAATTTTCTTGTCTTTTTCAAAGAACCAAATTTTAGTTTTTATTGCTTTGTATACAAATCAGATGTTATTACACAGGGACAGAGCAGTTCAGATTTGAATAGTCACAGAAACACTCACACATCATTTTTACTAAAATCCATTGGGTTTGCCCTAGAAAAATTTAAACTTCCACCAAAAATTATTTTCACCTTGATTTTTAGAATAGGGGTCAAAAAAGCAGTTTATAATGGAAGACAATGGATACACACCTTTCCTACACATTCCTACACAGTTTCTACAAAACTTCTTACATTGCTAAAATTAGTCCGAATGGACTACTACTGTGGACTCATGGTGGACTGTTACAAGTACCTTGGAGTCCATGTGAACAACAGGCTGGACGGGAGGGACAACAGCTGTGTACAAGATGGACATGAGTAGACTCTACTTCCTGAGAAAGCTCAGGTCTTTCAATGTGTGCAGCAACTTACTGCAGATCTTCTACCAGTCTGTGGTGACCAGCACCTTGTACTTCACTGTGGTCTGTTGGGGGAGCAGCACCAGTGAAAGGGACATTAGGCAGATTGACAAACTGATCTGTAAAGGTGGTCACATGATTGGCTGTGAGCTGGAGACATTTGTCACAGTGAGGGACAGGAGGACACTGGACAAACTGCTCTCCATCATGGACACTCCTGCTCACCCACTGCACCAGACTATAGAGGGACAGAGGAGCTCATTCTCCAACAGGCTCCTACAGCTCCGCTCAGACAGTGAGAGATACAGGACTACATTCATACCATACACCATACAACTGTACAACAACTCACCTTTACGTAACAGATAATACTCCCTACAACTGTACAACAACTCACCTTTATGTAATAGATAAGCCTGTGTTTGTGTCAATGATCATATCATCTTTGCACTGTTTCCTTACAACCTCTTGTCTATAACTGTGATATACTGTATTACGATATTTGTGGTTTACTTACTGTACTTACATTTATATAATTTATGTCTTATTTTACACCAGCCTCTTGCTATTTTTACTGCTACATATTTAGACTTGCTACTTTTTACTCTTTGTTATTGTACTGTAATATAATGTGATGTGTGAGCTACTGCTAATTTCCCTTGTGGATCAATAAAGTCTGTCTAAGTCTAAGTCTAAATAAAAGCCTGTAAAAACACATACATTTTCATTGCAATTGACAACCACAGCCAAAGTCACAATCACAATAAATGTACCTTCAGATACACAAATTTGCCTTAAAAATGCACAAGGGTTAAAATAAGTTATCTTGATCAGATATCATTGCAACTAATTCCTTTATAATTGTAACACAATTTTTAAACAATGTGTGCCAAAAAATATAATTTGATGTTCTTGTTTTCTTGCTTGAGTAAATTAATAATAATATGCTACAATTTTATCCAGACTTTGTAAAAATAAACCGGTCACTCATGGTAGGGTCTCTGTGCCCTTGATTATTGTATGAAAAAAGGGTAAAATACAAACCAAAATCTGTGTATAAAGATAGGTTTGTTGTTGCTGCTATTGTTGTAGACCACACTGACATTTGGACACGGCACTGTGGAGGCAATTGAGCTTAGTTGAGCAAAATGAACATGTGCGGCGCCATTTGCAAAAGGCTGCAATTTGGTGACTCACACACTTCATGTCAATATCCCTCTTTTAACTACGCGTGCGTTCAACTGGGCCATGGCAACAAGGGCCCTAGAGACGAGATCCGACCGGGACAGGCACCAGTAAGGGCTTTGAGATCTCTTTATTTTTGTTGTCATCTATACCACTACCGACTACTACAACAGAGTCCAGCTGCAGACCTCCACCCAGAGGACCCTACCCCCCACAGACACCCACCAGGATGCACCTCCACTCACATGTCCTTACTTACGCTTATTATTTATAGCTGTTGCTTTAGTGTTGCTATTAAATGTTATTTAAGGTCATAAAGCTCATTTCAATGTTTGGTATTATTAGCACTTCAAAGATTGGATATATAATCCCCCAAACATTTCTAAGTTTCCTAATTTGAAATTCACTTTGTGTTGTCTCTGCTCTGCTCTGCTTGCACAGGGAAATTAGAAGTTTAAAACAGCTGCAGGCCCTGTGTCTGGTTAAGATCAGGCAAAAATCTACAATGGTTGAGGTTAGGAAAAGGGACTGCGCTTGTCTTTTGTGTAAAATGTACACTTTTGTAATGTTATGCTGAAAACATTGGTCAGGAAAGTTGACTTTGGCAGTCTTTTGGTATAGCCTCTGTTTATTCACTAGGGACCCATAGATGGAGCTGAGTCACGTGATGGTCCTCCTGTAACCTGTGGAGCAGGGTGTCTGCAAAGAGCGATCGGTCGATGGCTGCACTCAGTGCGCCATGGAGCTCTGCGCCGGTCCTTTCGCCTGAGGTCACCCTACAGTCTACACTGTTGCAACCCTGAGCTCATCCCAATTTAGGTCTGGTTCAGTTCTGGTTTAGTCCAGACTTAGTTCTGTAATGAGTCCTAGATTAGTCCTGGGTTAGTCCTGGTTCAGTGTGCAGCGCAAAAGTCGAGCATCTCAATCAATGTTTCTTCTGCTCAGTAAATAATGTCTGTGAAGTGATGAGAGTTGAGTCGCATCTGTGAATTCATATTCATACTGAAGAAAGTGTAACCATTTCATTTTGTGACTGTAATTCTTGACGTCGTAACTTTTCAATTTGTATTCTGATGGATGCTTCATTTAGAATGAATTTAATTTGAGTGTGATTTATCACAGGCATGGTCGGGTAACGGGTGAAACGTTAATGGGTCCAGGCAGGTGTGGGTTTAACTTTGATAAAATCAAGGGTTAAAGGGCATGTGCGGTGCTGGGCTATGCGGGTGCGGTCTGCAAAAATGGATCCATGCAGGGCTTTGCCAATTACCGTCTAATATACGATCAGATTACAAAATTAAGACTAAAAACAGGTCCAAAATCGGACTAAACTATGGTTTAAACAGAATTAACAAAAACAGAATAAAAAACATATGAATACATTTGTCCCTAAATTTAAATTATTTGAACTAGAGGATCCCAAGTACCATCAGAAATAGTTCCATGTACCACTAATGGTACACAATACAGACCACAGTTTGACACACTACAAAAACTGGCACTGACAATAAACTAGATACTAATTTCAAATTTCTGCAGATGTTGATAGTGACAAGATTACAAGTTGGACAGAGCTGACTGGCGTTCTTAGTGCCACTATTGCCCTAACCCTGAACTAATTCTGCAATATAACTATCCATATACAGTACTATCCAAACATCTATTATATTGTCAATCAATGTTAGGAATGCAAGGCTCCTCAGCTATTTTGGTACTACTTCAATAATGCGTGTGAGGTCTTCTGCAGTTTCAGTGTTTGCTTGATTTAAAGTGAATCTTTTTCATATTTTTGCCTTCCTCTGGGTGAGATCTTGGTTATAAAACACTGTCAAAAAGGTTAAGTTATGAATAGCACTGTTAGAGAACAGGTTTAGATTTCGTAGTACTGGGAAAGACTCTTTTTTAAAGTGGTACTTAGTGTGAAATGTTCCATCAGTAGTTACATACTAAAACTTTTTTTTTTTAAATCAATAAATAATCCAGTTCGTGTAGGATGCTGCAGCTTGTTTTTTGATCAACACAATCAGATGTCAGTCCATCAGCTCAGTCCTTTTATCACTCCACTGACTTCCAGTTTCTTTTAGAACTGATATTAAAATTTTATTGTTTGTTTTTAAACCTTAATGGCTTTGCTCCTCCTTATTTGACTGAACTTCTATCTGTTTGAAACTCAAACAGGGGCCTAAGGTCAAATAGCCAACTCCTGCTAGAAGTCCCCAGAGCCAGATTCAGACACTGGCAAATGGGTTTTCTCTGTCTGGAACAAACTGCTCCCTGATATGTGCACCATCATGGACTTTGGCCTGTTCAAACCCAGGCTCAAAACTCATCTATTCGGATTGTCTTTTAACACTCAGTAATGCAGTGACTCTTTACACAATTTGTTTTATTTCATAGTTTAATGTTTTGCATGTTTTTATATTGTGTTGATTTTATTGGAAAGCACTTGACTTATTGGTCACCTTGAGTGTTGAAAAGGGCTCTATAAATAAAGATAGATTGACAGAAAATATATACTTATTTATTTCGTGAAACTAAAAAAAGATATGAAAAACAAAACAAATAAAAAAAACAAAAAACATATACAGTACGTCCATATATAGAGATCTGAAGCTTAGACCTAAAGCATGGTATTCACAGTTTCGTAACAGATTACATCACCTGACCCTTTCTTTGTACAGTTTCTATCCTCGTCTGAATCACTATACTCGACATTACTGCCCCCTGTCTGCAAGAGAAAGTACACAAGTGTGGGAGTGGGAGAGTGAAGTACAGAGCTGCAGCTTGGTTCCCTTTTTCTGAACTTGAAAATTGACAAAAGGTCATATTGAAGCCACTTCTAAAAATAAGCAAATCAGGCATAACATTATAACAATTTTGCTAATATCCCCCAACGCCAGTGTATAATGTATTTTAATAGCATATTTAATAGTTTGTGAGTATAACTGTTAACAGCTCAAAATATAATTCTCATCATAGTTTGCTAAAAAGGACATAAAAAAAGTTGTTTTCATGCTTTATGCTTGTCCGCTTCTTCTTAATTTTATGCTTTATTATCAGTGAGAATTCTATACAACTTGTTACATGTACAAAAAGATCATCTGCATAACTTAAAGACCTTGTCCCAACCATGAATGACAAGCATGTTTAAGGATGTACTGCAATATCAGTCAATCATTTCTTTAAGCATGAATACAAACATAATAAAAAATACTGAAATTAAACGATGTAGTCACTTACCTTGTGTTTGACTCGCCCTGCTCCTTCCTGGTTCAGATATGACAAAGGAAAAATTGGAAAAGAGAGTGTTAGAAAAACTACTTTTATTGTAATAACATGTGTGATTAATAGTTCTCTGCCAAAAGGACCAGACCTGTGGCTTTGCATGGCGGGGTTTCCATTTGGCCGACAGCGCTGAGATTGAATAGGTAATTCTGAGAACTATTTCTTCAAATATCATTTATTTTTGTCAAATGTTAAACTACTGGATATAGAGACTGTATTTCCTATAGTATTTTGTACAGCATTTTCACATAGCAGTATTAATGCAATGGAAAAAGACTGCAATGGCGCGAATTGACCGATATATAAATATGTGTGAGGAGAGAACATAGTGAATGATTTGACATACACGCCTGCTGGTGCCCACAAAAGCAAGAAAACTGTAGAAAACTTTGTTAACCCTGAAAAAAACATGTATAAATGGATAATGAATAATATTGGTTCTGAATTCCAGTAGCAGAATTTGGTAGTTAATCTTTTCAGGGTAAAAGAAAAAAGAAACAAGTTAGAAATTTATCAGCATTTTAAACTAACTATCTTCCATAAAAATCTGCTATATATTTTTTTTTTCTGTTAATTTATTATATACATTGATTGATACTGTACTAATGCGTACTTACAAAAGCATAGGTAGCACATTATAAAACGAAGTAACTACTGTGAACTATATATGGCATGTCTTAAAATAAAAATGTATTTTACAACGTGTACTGAATGTACAGTATAAGCATATCCAATGTACATCCAATTTAAATTGAACTATAACAATTTTCAAATTCACTTTTCTATTCATATTTATTTTAACTCAGTGAACAGTATAAACACACATAGCAAACACCAGTCTGGTCCTTTTCATGGGTAGGAGAGTGTATTTCGATTAGTGTAACCTGTTTCTTTTCTCAATTAAGCCATTCATAAATCAATAAAGATCATTGCAGAGTTAATGTAGCAGGCTCATAACACACATGCAGGTCAATGTGCTCAAACTGAATCAACATTTGCAATAACATAAGCCACTGACTCATTTCATTACTTTTATAGATCCAACTGTATTTTGAGCACAACAGCCATAGTAGCATTTGTGAAGTGCTTATACATATCACGGTGGATAACTTTACTAATATTTCCAGTCTCTAAACTGATTTATATTTCAATTCATCTAAGCCAAAATGAAATGCTCACTTGCAGCAGTTTAGTAGCTACAAATTCAGAACCTCGGGATTGGTCTGTTCATTGAGCTTGGCGTTGCTATGGCTATCATAAATTTATTGCAGTCCTTTAAAGCTGAGTCAGGAGTGAGGACTGAGTCAAGAGTGGAACTAACACTGTCTGAATCATTGGACACTGAGCTAACTCGGTTCAATACATTCTGACCTTCTTAAGTGATTTTTGTTTCATCTGGTTTAGCCTTCACTGTTGGTATGTTTGATTTTTGGCTGATTTTAAAGTCCTGTTTTAAACAAGATTGATGCTTTAAGCCATGTTAGAATATTGTTTGAATCTACAAATCTACAACAAAAAATCTATTGCACAGTTAGTTTTGCCAAATTTTGACAATTTGGCAAAATGAAGATAAACATTTGATTAGTTGATTTTTTGTTTTAATTAGATTGTATAGGGTGAATGAAAGTAAACAACAAAATTAACTTTTTAATGTTGCCAAAATGTGTTGTAATCTCTGTTTTTGTTTTAGAATGACTTGCATAGAGTGGGTTTGTAGTGGTTTATCCTGTTTGTTTGGCCAGGTCTTTTTTTTAGATCTGATTTGAGTCCTGGATTAGACTAGGTTTGTTTCAGGCAATATCTGGGTCTTGATTGCATTACCATTACCATATCAGAGCCTGGAAACTATTAGTATTTCTGTGTAAAGTGATAAAGAAAAGTGAATTGTAGTGAAACAATATTTTTTTAAAAAGGGAGAAGGTAATAATTGTAAAATAAATCCAAAACGTAACAATACTTAGAAGAAATAAATATGGCACGGACTTAGATTGCACTGCCATAGTTGTACCTACTTTGTGGGACTGCAGGTATGCAACGCCTTCAAGTGAGGCTTCCAGGTAGCAATGGAAACTGAGTTCTCATCAGCTGCATAACTACGCCACACACACTGCATGCAGAGTCCACCAAACAGGAGAGAAGAGGAAACCAAATCAATTTGAAATCACAATCCAGACATGACAGAGAAGGCAATTCAGTTAAGGCAGTATAGACCCTTTAAAAAGCTGGCATCAGAATATTCACAATTCTGTAATGGAGGCAACAGGAGGCCAAATGAAGTAGACCATTTCAATGATTAACTGACATCTGATCTGAATACTAATGGTTTTAGATCTTTCTAACAAAAAATTACAAATTTGAATTTCCAGGGTTGAAATGTCAGTTAGTTAGCTCATCAAGGGTGAAAAAACACGTTTTTATAGCCTCAAAAATGAATGTGCTTAACAAGAAGTATAATTTGGTAAAGATTACAAATCACAAACTTTCATCAAATTTTTTCATCAAAAATATTCACTCATATCCTGAATAAATTGCTAAGGCTATTACTACATGTTTCTGAGTCCACTAGATCTTGTGTTATTCTGTGGTTAATCTATATTCTCTGTTGAATTGCATTATTTTCCATTTCATTTTGGCCTTCAATGCCTCCATTCCAGAATTTAGAATTATGTTTGGTAACACTTCATAATAACTTTTTACCTGTTCATTATGAATTAGGTCTTTATTCAAGCTTAATTAAGGCTAATTAAGCTGTAGTTATTATAAAGTGTCACTTTAAAATAACTACATCCTAAACCCCAAACTTTTAAAGGGTCCCTTGGAAGAGAAACACATTTAAGAGTCTGATTAGTGGCACACATCTCGGAGCGGCTCGGCGGGCAGTGCCACCTGCCTGTGCACGGGCAGGAGGCTCTCGTAGTGTCGCCAGGTGGCATCCAGGTATGGCCTGGCACTGTCTGTGGAGTAATAACGCCACGCAGTCTGGGGCAACATGGAACAAAATCAGAGGGGAGAGAGAAAGCTACGTGTACAAGAGCTACTTTTATAATTACTTAAAATAAATCTCAAAAATACGTTACTATACTATAGTGCTGTTGACAATGCGGAGTACGAAAAAGGTTGTAGTGGAGTTGAAGAAGAAACACGAACAAAAGCTGTGCACAAGGCTTGGACATTTTGGACCAGCACAGCATGGGAGGAGATCAGTGATCAACAGGCATGCCTCCTCCTCCTCCTGTACACTGTGTGAAGCCCCGGTCTTTACTGTCAGGACCTTAAGGATGTGAGACTGACTCAGGAAACCCCAATGTGATGGACAGAACAGGGCCAATGTGCCATAGGTAAAGTGTGTTGTTTTATTAAGCCGCAGCTGCCTTCAAAACAACACAATTAAGCTATTTTAACATTGTGAATTAGCCAGTGCATGGACTCTTACTTTATACTTCTAATGCACCACTGGTGCAGAAACTGGATCTGTTTTTCCTCCACATAAATTTTACACCTGTCTTTCCAGTGTGCTTCCACAAGCAGCACTCGCTAAACTACTTCATATGCATTTGCTACTCCTTATTTTTGTTTATTTATTATTTTGGCGAAAACACCCTGTTTGCTTCTTTTTAGTGCGTTCACAGCACTTAGTTAGCACATGTGCAGACGCTTAGTAAATATGCCCATTAAGAAAGCATATTCAAAGTGTCATAATATTATGCTATGCCAAACAAGACATGTCCCCATTTCTTATGTCTGGTGTGGATGCAATTGGAACAAAATAAGACACAAAGTGAACTCCAGACCCTGATCCCGATTGTGAGCTGAGAGACGGAACACATGTTAACAGTGTAACAATAGAAAACAAAACATTATAAATCACACTTTAATATAACTTGTACAACCCTATATAAAATTCTTTAATTATTCTTTAGCATAAGAAGTGTAAATATTTAAGTTAGTACCTGGATGAGGTAGGCGGCTGGGTTCCTCCTCTTCTCAAAGTGCTTCTGCCGATGCTGCTCCTGAACTTTGAGGGCAAAGCCTGAGCCCAGAATGCCCTAAACATAAAGTAGTAATACACAATGAGCTTAAACTAAAAAAAAAATGTAAAAAAATTAATTCAGTATGGGTTATTGAACTGAGAGGGATTAGAATTGTTGATGTAATTGTTTTCTTGGTATAGACTCACCGCTGGCAAGGCAAAGAAAGAGATCCCCAGGAGAGCGAAGCCTGCAGACAGCATCCTTCCTGTCCACGTCTTTGGTGTCTTGTCTCCATAACCAATGGTTGTCAAGGTGATCTATAAAAACATGCAACTCAATTCAACTTTCAACAAGAGGTTATGGTACATACTTCCCTTTCCTCAAAATATATTTGTAGCACACATACTCCCCAGTGTCCAGTTAAGTAAATTTAAAGGCGCTATACTTGAATTTTACTGTCTTATAATCATGAAATACAGAACTAGTTCATTTTAAACCGCAGTGATCAAAAATTATTCCTCACTTATTCCTTATGCATTCCAAGCACCCTAATAAAAAAGACAATAAAACACTTATTGGTATACATACTTATATTTAGATGCAGATAGTACACGGTGGACATATTCTGGCCTCAAGAACTGCTTATGTCATAGATCTCAACTGGGGCAACACAGATTTTCCTCAAATACATGGGGAAAAATTGGGTGCAACTAAAATAACTAAATTGCCCTAAGTAAGAGCAATTTTACCCACCTTTGTTACAGAATGCCCTTATCAGAAATGTGGGGGCACTAAAAATGAAATTACTCACCAAACGGGAAAGCTGAAAAGAATTACTAGTCTGCAAACAAGTTTACAATGTTGTGTTGTGTGATAACTGAAAATATCTATTATGTGTGAGTCATGAGATGTGTTTGGGGCTCTGTGGTTTAAGACCATGTGCCATCTCAAAGACAGCTTTTATTGTGGTGGGTTTGAATGCACTTTCTCAAGCAAGTGAATTTGTAAAGAGTCATGAGAGTAAATAATTTTAGCAAATTTATAAACACATGACTAAAATGACGTTACAACTTTCCCTAAAGCAAGAACGAAGCATCTGAAACATGAGTGCTCGGTTTTGCAGAAAATGTACTGATTTAAAAAAGGTTAAAAGTACCTTTACCCAATTTTTCCCCATGTATTTGAGCAAAATTTGTCTTACGATTATAGACTGTATATAAAGCTAATCTGCTAGCCATATAGGAAGTGAACATGGGGTGCTTCCTGCTCCAGACTCAAATGTTTGTATTATCATGCTCTACATCAGTGTTTCCCAAACTTTTTTTCTGGGGAACCATATTTTAAAAGTCACAAATCTTTGCAACCCAAGTCAATAGACATTATTCGTAAATCACAAAATAAATTTGTGACCATTATTGAACATTAATGATGATATTTTATTGTTGACTGAGTGATCGTGTCTCTGAACTATTAGTATTACCGCATTTTTCGGACTATAAGGCGCAATATCAGTAATGTTGAATTCTCTCGTCTATTTTCATACATGAGGCACAAGGGATTATAAGGCGCATTAAGCGAAACAAACGGATGACACTTGAGACCTGAGACTTTATTTCCTGCAAGGAGGACTCAAATACAGATTGCGTAATAATGTGTTTAATGTAGCTTTGTGCACATTTGTTTACATTTTACAGAAACAAAACTTAAAACCACATGGCTCATTTGCATAAACTACAAGCAATTAAAAAAACAGCTCGCTCCTCGTGCGCTGTTGCAGTCAGCTTCTGTCAGACTAAAGAACACAACTCAGTGGAATATATGTGGAAATTGGTTCGAGCTCAGTAGCACAAAAACAATTAATACATAAAGTGCCCTGGATTATCAGGCACATTGATTATTCAGAAAATTAAGGGATTTTAAGTGCGCCTTATAGTCCAAAAAATATGGTACTCAAGTTTAAACAAGGAAAAACAGTAATCAGTGAGGGGGGTATGCGGAGATTCCGTACACGGAGAAGAAGTGAGGAGGGGTGGGGTGCGTGGAAATTTATGTGTATGTATATTGCAAACCTACATGCAGATCGTGACAAGGCGACCCCAAAAAATCTCTTGCGACCCACCTGTGACTTTGGGAAACAATGCTCTACATGATCCAGATGTTTTTATTTCGTTAGTTTCTCTGTAAATAAATAAATTCCTAATATGGAATTTTGGTACAAAATTGCTCCTATGACTGATAGCCTCGGGAGCTTCAGTTGACTGGAGACGAACACTGGTGACGTCACACTCCCTTAGTCCTTTTCTCTCTACAGTCTATGGTACTGATATGTTGTATCAGCAGCTCTAGAAGTCAAAGCAAGTCTGCCGCATACTGTCTGCATTTAATTGGAAAGCATTTAATTGTGAGATAATCAGAAAGCACACATTAGCATGCACTCAAGCAGAAACTCAGTGCGGTGAATAATTCTGATACTTGGAATGCATGAGATAAGTGAGGAACTTTAGACTAATGTAAACTGCTTAAAATGAAATACTTCTGAGGTAGTTTTGTTTTTGTGGGTCATGTTTTAAAATCTAGTGTGCTGTTAGAATTAAAAGTGTCTTTTCTTTAATTACACATATATTGTTATCACTATTAAAATGTGATTAATTGCTCCACCCCATCACCCAGATTCAGACCTACTACAATTTGTACTACTTTTACTGACACTACTACAACTCCAATTACAAGATGCAATTTGAAAGCTTTTAGATTCCCTCAAAAGTGTGTTTTTGCAAATACAGTTTTACAATATATTTCCCCCCCATGTTCACATCTAAAAAGGGCCACTTATTGCAGTGTCTTTGCTTCCGTAAAGCCACTAAAACTGAACTAAGAGCAGGACATTGCAAAGGCGTGTTTTGATTTTGGTCTAATCATGTTCTATTTATCTGTCTGCGGTTTGGGGACACATTTGTGATTGAAAAAGCTCCCATTCAGCCTTTTATTGTGAAGCTTAACAATGACATCCATTAGTGCCATTATGATTTTTGATCCGCTATGAAAATGGTTGTTAATGCATGCAGCCACATATGAGCAATATTTGAGGAACAAAATTTGGTACAAAAACAAGAAGCAACTTATGCATAACCACAAACCAAAATTTTACCACTAATAAACCAGGACAAAATGGGTTAAATCACGAAAGGTAGATAAGGTAAACAAGGAAGAAAAGCCTAGATAAGTTAGATAAGTTAATAAGCTGAGAATAAAACAAAAAAGACAAGTTGAAACCAGCAATATTTTGAAACCAGTGGATAACTATAATAACACCAGATATTAATCTCATAGGTTTGAATTGATCTAAACTAAACATTGTCTAAACCAAGATTAAGTCGGGCCCAACCCAGGTAGGGTTGTCCAACAAAATCAATAACCACATACTAAATGATAATTAAACTAATGTCAAAACTAGATTCTCATTTGAAAAGTGAAAAAGCATAAGTAAGACAAAGATTAACCTTGAATAATTTTAATGGTCTTGATCTATGCCAGACCACACAATGTCAAAAAAAACAATTTTGTGCTGGAAATGACATTCTTTTGTCTAATAACAATGTGTACTTAGAAATTGTTAGAGGGGATCACAAATCATAGATTTAGAATAAAAATCAAGTTTGACCCATGTTTTAGTTCCATTGGCCCCGCCCACTTAGTCCTACCTGCAATTCAGATATTCTACCATGGTACAGAAACGCCTGCGTGGGATAGACTCATACCAGGGTCAAACTGGGAACAAAATGCGGCCCTGGCATTTTTATTTTCATACTGCTTATTTTTGTATAGAGTTCTCCAATCTTAAAGTAAGCCTACTTTAAACTTTTATGTCAATCTTGATAATGCACCATGAGAGAGGATCAAGTGTCAGACAGTTATTTTCTCATGGTTCTTAATAAACGAGAAGCCTCATTGTCAGTACAGTAGCTTTAACTTGATACATTACAAAATGCTTTGTAAAATGCTAAGAATAAAAATTACAGTTGTAATTGTAAAGACCATTTATCTTGACTATAGAATAAATCAGAGGCCTTTTAAAGCAAAAGGGAATATTTTTTGATAGCCTAAGTGAACTCACCGTGCCCCACCACAGAGCATCAGCATAGGTCGCAAACTCTTTGTTAAACTTGTTCTCCACCAAATAGACAAGGAACGAAGAAAAGATGAGAACCAGGAAACCAATGTACCAGGCAGTCACCAGCTCCTGCAAAATGAGGGTATTGTGGTAAAAGGTTAAAGACATATTAATTTATAGGGTATTCTAGGTTTTCTTCTTTGGGGCATTACATTGACTTCAATGAATTTCATAATCTTAACCATAGTTACTCTATGCCAAACCTTAACCTAGATACATTAGATTAACGGCATTTCTCAGAATTTCTAATACAAAATGGACAATAGGTGTAGTGTGTGCTCTTTTGCGGTCAGCGGATTCTGCCCATGGGTTTTAGAGTGATGAAAATTTAGCACCGTTGCCATAGCAATTACAGTGACTATTCAAAACAAAATGTTCTGAATGGGCAAAGTCCTCAAAATATCACCATAAACAGTAAACCGAAACCCGTAAATAAACTTGTGACAACGTGTGAACGTTTATAGCCAAAGTTAAGCTACAATCAGATGTTATTTGTAATACTAGCATCTGATTGAGTTTAATTTTAATAGAGCTTACAATTATAAAGCAATTTACTGGAGAAGAAGGAGGAATATATTGATGTTTTTTACCTATGTATACTACTTACAAAGCAGTTCATGGAAGGCTAATACACTACCCACTGTACAAACACAGTGCAGCCATAAAATACTGGTATCGGATATTGTTCCAAGAAATCTGTTGATTTTGATCTATAAATTCTTGTCAATTTACTGGTCGAGTTGGCTCTATTCATGTGGCTGAAATCTATCAAATTTCTTTGCCCATGAAAAAAATATAAACAGTCAATCTCTACCTAGACTCATACAATTCTAAGGGGGGTGATTTGAGATTTTGTGAATGCCTCTGATGCAGCACCTTGCTGTGAGCGTAGACCACAGAGCCCAAAAGTTTCCAGGTGCCTCCTCTCCGGTCCATCCGCACCATCCTGAGAATCTGCAGGAAGCGCAGGCTCCGCAACACAGACGTCGCAAAGATGTTTCCCTGACTCCCCGCTGAGACCACCGCCACGGACGCAATCAGTACGATGATGTCTGCAGAGGAGGAGGAATGCAAATTAGACACTATAGAGTTTACTAGCAATGTACAAAAATGTAATTGTTATTTTTGTTAAGAGAATATTTTCAGTAGATGTTCAAAAAATAGGTTTCCGTTCAAACTGCACATTGAAAACAACTCCAGGAGCACTAGCATTTGAAATAGGAACAGATAAAATAATCCCATACATTTCAGAACATGCTTGTAGAGATCAGGATGTATGGATTTTTTATATTGTGTAAATAACTGAAGCATTTTGTGATGTCCATGAAATGAATACATGTATACAGGGGGGTTAGAATTGTCAAAAATATATACCCAGATACTATTCACTACTGAACTTGTACTGAAACTAGATACTCATTTGAACACGTATTGGTACTAAAATAACTCGTATAAACTGGACAAACCTTGGAAACATCTTAATATAAAAAAAAAATACAATTCTTTTGAGCCAATAAATATTTTCTAATGTAAAAATTTTGATTTTTTTTTGCTATGAAAAAAAAAAATTAATACTGTGGCATTGTATCTCTTAAGAAGCTGTAGTTCCAAGAAGCAGTGTTAGAAAACTGCTGAAATATTAAATTAAAAAATGAAAAATTCTCAGGCCAAAATATGAACTGAACAGCGCAATTAATTTTTTTCTAAATTATTTCCAAATCTTATCTGATCTTGTTTTCATGGACTCAGCCTTGTGTTTCGTCTCATGGGAATTATGTCTTATTCATGAGTCGTAACAGTAGAAGTAATAGAACAGATTCAATGCAAAAGGAGATTCAAGCTATACAGACCATACAATTCATGATCGCAAGTCCAACCTTGTCATATATAAGGTCATACAATTTCTCTGTATTGATTTCACAGAGAAATGCTCTGTAGGTGACAGAATGGGCTTAAAGGCATCAGATGTTCAGACACTGCACTTCCTATATGCTTTATATAAACTATGTGCACAAGAAAGCTATTGTGTGTTCTTGTCCATTATTGAATGTGGATAAATTGTACTTTTGTACTTTAGATAAAAGTACTATAATTCTACTTTTTAAAACAGATTTTTATAGTTCAAGGTTCAGGTACACTTTATTTGTAAATGTAGGTAAATTTCTCTCTGCCTTCAATGCCACTGGGATAAGCAGGAGCAGTGGGTACCACACAATTTGCTGCAGGAACTGGAGATCTCTGGAGCCAGGCTTAATCTGGATTACCTTAGATGGAGGAATTTGTTGTGGTTTATCTATTGTACATTTTGTTTTGGGTTGATGGGGGGAACCAGAGCGTCTGGAGGAAAACCACCAAGAGACACTACCCGCCATGATCCTCCAAAAGTCAATAAATAAACATTACATAAAAAATATAAATCTGCCACTAGGGAGTGCAGTGGTTGTCCAGATGACCATGGTTTTGGTTAGCATAGTATTAAGATAGTATGAAAATGTCTCTATGGGACACTTGAATCGTACAGTTATCTGATGGTCAGTCCCTTGTGTAATCCAAGCCTTTTTTATGTCATTTATCACAGATTTCTCTCATATTGCCATTCCTCTGACAGAAACTGCTGACCCAAGCATGGCATTTTGGCCTTAGCTATAAACAACACAACCTCATATGTGTTTGGAGAAGAAAAAGGTAGGACTGGAGAGATAGGGCAGATAACAGCAGGGAAGAAAGCCGTGAAAAATACATAAATGTCACCATGAGGTTGAGAGTGGGGTCCTGCAGAGCACCCATTCATTCCCTTTGAAGGTGCTCGCTGCACACGAGTCCACACTTGAACAGAGAATAAATGCTACAGTTACATTTAAAAGAATAATACATATAAATCACTTTTCATTTTAATTCAATTCAGTGAAAGGCTGTGCTTGCATATACACAAAACTGTGGACAGGTTTCAGATGACATCACAATATTCTAAAAGCCAATAATATTTGATACAGATGATTAATTTAAAATGCTGATATTTTTGTTGTAACACAGTTATAGAGTCTAGCCACTAATCAAAATGATCAGGTTCAACATTTGAGAATTTGAAATATTTCAGAATTGAATACCATGTATTCAATTCCTGGTTTTCAGTTTCCACAACTAAACATGGACAAGACTAGACCTTCATGTACAAAACACACCTAAATATCCTACATCGAATTAGTCAGATGTAGCAGTTTTATGTGTGACAGCTTAAATTATATATCAATAAAAATATGCAATTGAACCCTGACTGACAAACATACAAAACACTACAACTGTTGCCATTGGCTGAATCTTAAGTTGCTTATTTATTTATTCAATCAGGAAGACTACAGTCAAAATAATACTTTTACACACCTTCAGGTTTATCCATATCTTATATAATACTGTTTCATAGAGAGCCCTGACTATCTGTATGCAGAAGATAAAATGCAAATAAGAGTTTTTCTTTTTGCATAGTAATTCGCTATTCTAAACTGGAAACTCGTTACATTTCTTCGAACTTCAAACCCTGACATAAATGTTCAAAAGGTTGGTAAATAATAAATCTTAAAACATTTCCAAATGCCATTTCAAGTCAAAACATTTTGTTTTGCCTTTTTTCCTCTTTGATATGAGAAATATGTGATAAAAAGCCGCAAGGACATGCACTTTTGTCCTTTGAACCACAATAGTCTCTCCGTCTCACATTTCTTTGAGCACCCACACTATCACCGCCTTGAGGAAGATAACAACACACCATTCCATCAGATACAGAGGAAAACAAGAGAAACAACAAGGTTACAAGGCTTTGAAAAAATGTAAAATACCTCTTTATTGACAGAAGACAGTGCGCACAGACAAAGATAAGGTTCAAACACTTAAGTTGTATAGATTATATTGATTTTTAACTACTGTGCTAGTCAAGGTGCTTTTACTCAGTGCAGATACAATGACCAGGAGTGTGGAAGAAGGTGGCATCAGAAATAAAGAAGCTTAAAGGGGCTTGTTTTTTGTTTGTTTAGTTTTTAAGTAAAGGCCAGATATGTAGTACAAATTTTAGTTGTGTGGTGTGTGCATCTAATTATACTGCAATTATTCTGTGAAGCATGAAGTACAGTCCCTGACAAAAGTCTTGTCGCTTATCCATTTTGTAGAAACAAAAGCTTATAACCTGACTTTAAAATTTATCGATTGGTTTTAGAAATGTCTCATATGAAAGCTAAAACCCTCCCAAATTATGCTCAATATACTAAAATAAATTTGCTTCATTGAAGAAAGATTGATCATTTAATGAACACAGAAAGGTCAGATTTTGGCAAGACAAAAGTTTTGTCGCCTACATAAAATTGAACAAATAATTTATGTCAAATACAAAAATATGTTGCATAACGTCAGTGAATTAAGTAGTGGTGCTGTGAGAGCCATATTTAATATCTTGTATGACTTCCATGAGCTTGAAGGACTGCATGCATGCGGTTCGACAATGATTCATACAATTTGTTGATGAAGTCATCAGGAATAGCAAAGAAAGCGTCTTACATGCCTCCCAGAGTTCATCAAGATTCTTTGGTTTTGCCTTCCATGCTTCCTCTTTCATTCTACCCCAGACATGCTCAATGATGTTCATGTCTGGTGACTGGGCTGGCCAGTCCTGGAGCACCTTGACCTTCTTCGCCTTGAGAAACTTTGATGTAGAGATAGAAGTATGCGATGGAGCACCATCCTGCTGCAAAATTTGACCCCTTTTATGGTTGGGAATGTAAGAGGTAGCTAATACTTCTTGATATTTTAGGCTATTGATATTTCCTTCCACCCTGCAAATGTCTCCCACACCCCCATATTGGATGTAACCCCAGACCATGATTTTTTCGCCACCAAACTTAACTGTTTTCTGGGTGAATCTTGGATCCATGTGGGCTCCAGTAGGTCTCCTGCAATATTTGTGGCGGCTGTGATGTAATTAAACTGAGGATTCATCTGAGAAATCCACCTTCTGCCACTTTTCCAGTGTCCATCCTTTTAGCAGGCTGTGTTCCTTGGCAAATGCCACACGGTTTTTTAATTGCCTTTTGTTTAGTGCTGGTTTCTGTGCACTGATTCGACCATGGAGGCCATTTCGAGACAGAATTCTACAAACTGTTCTGGATGACACAGGGACTTGAGGTGACCAGGCCTGGTGGAGTCTGCTGCAGTGGAAAAGGGGCCGTGGATTTTCGAATCAACAAACGGTCCTCCCAAGCAGTTGTCTTGCGGGGTCTGCCGGACCTGGGCTTGTCAAAAACATCTCCAGTCATTTCAGATCTTTTTCTTATTCTTTATACTTGACGCTGAGACACATTGAAGGTGTCAGCCACCTCAGCAGTGGATCTGGTCTTCAGCCTCTTGATAATTAACGCTTTGGTCTCAGGGTGGATCTTAGGCATGTTGTCAGAGGTCAAGTTGCAGTTGATGTGAAGGTCTGGTGTGCTGGGGTTCTTTTTATACACACCCACTAATTGATTGATCAGTAACTGATCACAGGTGAGGCTGTAATCTAGGATTGGGTGCATCATATGACAAGACGACAAAACTTTTGTCTTGCCAAAATCTGACCTTTCTGTGTTCATTAAATGATCAATCTTTCTTCAGTGAAGCAAATTTATTTTAGTATATTGAGCATAATTTGGGAGGGTTTTAGCTTTCATATGAGACATTTCTAAAACCAATGGATTAATTTAAAGTCAGGTTATAAGCTTTTGTTTCTACAAAATGGATAAGCGACAAGACTTTTGTCAGGGACTGTAGAGCTAATGCTAATAACAACTAGCATTACCATGACACAAAAAGCAATTATATTTGGTTGTTTTTTCTAGTGAATACATATTTAGTAATAATACAATTTCTTACAAAAAAAAAAAAAAAAATGAAATGGTCAATTTAATGGAATTACCAAGAGAGAATAGCTGCAGCTGCTGTGGAAGTTTGGCACCAGTGGTTGTGGAATAGAGCTCCACTCCATCACATCGATTCCAAAAAACTAAATCATTTTTTAAAAAGCTGAGAACAA